GGGATCCTGGCACTTGCGAGGATTCAGCCATCAAGCCACTGAGCTGGGCCCCAACCATTCCTTAACTGACACAAAAATAAACATATAGGGGCCCGGCATCATGATGTCATGGGTTGGTCTGCTGCCTGTGTTGCCAGCATCCCCTATGGGTGCTGGTTCAAATCTCAGCTTCTCTAGTTTCAATCCAGACTCAGACCCATATGGCAGACCCCGATGAAGCTCTTGGTTTCAGCCTGCTCCAGGCTGAGCATCGTGGTCATTTGGGGAGTGAAGCAGCAGAGAGCCAGGGAAGAAGACTGTGAGATGGCCAAGGCTAGGCCGTGGAGGGGCTGGCTCCTGCCCTTCCAATCCCAATCAGTCCATGTTGTGCAGTCTGGCTGACTGTGGGACCAGGAAGGCAGGGCTTGGGTAGGTCCTGGGGGCCTCTGCAGGGGGACGCCAGCCACACGTCAGCTCCTCTGGTGAGAGCGCCCTACACGCTCCACCAGGAGCCAGTGCATCAGGCCACAGGGACTTGCGCATGAGCAGGGCCTCAGGTGTCAAGCCGGGGAGTCCAACTCCTGGGGCCTCACGAGGCAGCTGAGAGCTCCCTGGAAGCAGGGAAGGAACACTCCTTGTCAAGCCCTGAGTCGGGAGGCGGAAGGGTATTCTGTCCACTGGCTTTGCCACAGCTGCTACCCCCTTACCCGGGCCTGATCAGCTGGCGGACAAGCTGCCAGCCCACGCAGGAGGGGAATCCCTGTGGTGACAGCCAGGGAGACACCTAGGCGCCCACTTCTGAATGGATGGTGGGCCAACAGGGAGATCAGGAAATCCTGGAAACAAAAGAACGTCAAAATATGTGGGACACAGCAGAAGTGGAGAGAAAAGTTTGTTTTCCAGCAGATACAGGAAGGAAAGGGGAGGCAGCCGTCTCATCCATTCCCTCATTCCTCGATCCTTCTCGCCCCAGCTGGTGGCCCACATGGGGACACATGCGCCTCGACCGTGTAAACATCATTTTAAAAAACCGAATTATTAAAACAAACGGAACATTCGGACTGTACTCGGCTACTTCTCCTCTCCTTACTCTAGGACGTGTCTGGCCAGAGGGCTTCACCAGGCGGCACGTGTTAAACCCCTGGGTGTGTGGAGGGTCTCACTGGAGCCAACAGCTGACAGACGCAGGGGCGTCGCGAGGGGAGCGCCGGGGCCTTTTATCTACAGGCCGGCCCGCCTCGTCCAACCTCACGGCCTTCCTCAGAGGCCCTTCCCGCTGCCGACGTGCGCCTGGCGAGCACGGCGGGCGGCCGGGAGCCGGGGCGCGGGAGCCGGGGCGCGGGAGCCGGGGCCTGCGCGCCCCCGAGCCGGAGGAAGAGCCAGGCAGGCGCGCTCCCCCGGGCCGCCTCCCCCGCGCTCCCCGGAGGCCGCCTGGAGCCCTGCCCGCGCCCCGGGCGCCGTTGCGGGGCTGCGGGGCTGCGCGTCGCTCCGCCCGAGGCCTCGGCGCAGCGGGCCGGCGGAAGCGGTGCCCGGCGCCGGGAACAAGCCCACAGGCCTCTCCGAGGCGCGCCCCTTCCCCGCCGGGAGAGCCGAGGCTCACGCCGCAGACGCAGCCCACACCACACGCCCGGGGATGAGAGCTCTGGGCCCGACTCCACCAAGATGGCGCCTCGCCGGCGCCACCCTCCGCCCGCGTCCCGCCCGCCGCACCGAGATGGCGGCCGCGCGCCACCAGCACCTACCCGCTTCCGGCTCGCTCAAAATGGCGGCGGGCGGGGCGGGGCGGGGCTCGCGCGGGGCCTGCCGGCCTCGCACGCGCAGTCGGGAGCGGGGCGGAGCGCGGCCGCGCCGGCGCGTCGAGGGGAAGCAGCAGCCGCCGCGATGGTGAGCGGGCCCGGGCCGGGGGCGGCGGGGGCGGCGGGGCGGCGGGCCGCGCGTGGGGCCGGGGGCCGGGCGGCCGGGGAGCCGGGCCCTGCGCTCACGCCGGCCCGCCGCCCCCCAGGACGTGTTCCTCATGATCCGGCGTCACAAAACCACCATCTTCACGGACGCCAAGGAGTCGAGCACCGTGTTCGAGCTCAAGCGCATCGTCGAGGGCATCCTCAAGCGGCCGCCCGACGAGCAGCGGCTGTACAAGGTGCGGGCCGGGCGGCCGTTGTGCGGGCTCGAGGGCGGCCGCCGGGCGAGGGCTCGGGGCCGGGGTCTGCCCGGGGGCCGTGCGCCCGCGCTCAAGGGCATCGCCCGGGGGGACGAGCTCCGGCCCCGCCCGGGCTCCGCCGCAGGCGCCGTCTCCCCGGTCCCCGGCTCCGAGGACGCGGTCACCCTGCCGGACCCACGTGGGCGCGGGTCCAAAGCGGAGGTTCTGAGCGGGTCCTTCTCTCCCCAGGATGACCAGCTTCTGGATGATGGCAAGACACTGGGCGAGTGTGGCTTCACCAGCCAGACGGCAAGACCGCAGGCCCCCGCCACGGTGGGACTGGCCTTCCGGGCAGGTGAGCGGGCTTGGGGACAGCAGGGACGGCTTGGGGACAGCATGGGACGGCTTGGGGACAGCAGGGACGGCATGGGGACAGCAGGGACGGCTTGGGGACGGCAGGGACAGCTTGGGGACAGCATGGGGACAGCAGGGACGGCTTGGGGACGGCAGGGACAGCTTGGGGACAGCATGGGGACAGCAGGGACGGCTTGGGGACAGCAGGGACGGCTTGGGGACAGCGGGGACGGCTTGGGGACGGCAGGGACGGCTTGGGGACGGCAGGGACAGCGGGGACGGCTTGGGGACAGCGGGGACGGCTTGGGGACAGCGGGGACCGCAGGGACGGCTTGGGGACGGCAGGGACAGGCCCAGCAGCAGAGCGGCACACCGGGGTCTCCACATCTGCTGCGTGCCCGCCCTGCGTGCAGCTGCTCCCTGGCCCCCTCCGAGGCCGGGCGGCTGTGCCCAAGGCCGGACGGTGTCAGCTCAGCAGCCACACCCCACTGTGGCCCAGCCTAACTGGGAGGGCCCGCCCCCGAAAAAGGCAGGGAAATTCTAAGTTGTTTTCATCGGAGAACATAAAACAGAAGTAGCCAGTTGAGCATGCAGGGGCAGTGTAGGAGTGGTGTGCCAAGGGACTGTTTTGCTGTACTGTGGCACAAAAGCCGAGGCTAGGCAGCGTGGTGTCCTCGCTGGGCTTCGTTTTAGGAGCAGCATCCCCTCTGGAAGCCTAGCACGGCTGCCCGCAGAAGATGGCAGGGCTGAGGGACTGGACACAGCGTCCTGTGGAGGCTGTGGGCCTCTGGCTTGCCCCAGACTAGGTCAGTCAGCTTCTGGTTCTCAGTGTCCCTGCAGCACAGCTCACTGTGTCAGATGGCCAAGCTGATGCGAGAAGCAGCGCAGGTGAACATCCCTGGAAGGGCGCGCTGGCCTTCGGGTCGGGGCTGTCCTGCCATGCCTCTCCAGTTACAAGACAACCAGTGTCCCCCCAGACAGGCCTACTTTGCCAAGGGCATTGGGTGTGGGGGGCTTATCAGTTGCAAACCTTGAGCCCAGAGGAGAATCACACAGGGAAGTAACTGATGCGAGGCTGGGTTAGCTTTGTGGTGGCAACAAGCACCCAGGCCAGAGGGGCGAGTGCAGCAGGGTCCAGTCCTGATGGTCAAGGGATGCTCAAGGAAGGGGCCAGGCTGGTGCTGTGGTTGGCACCCGAGTGCCAGGACCCCAAGTGGTGGCTCGGTTGGAACTAACTGTAGGGTAAGGGTCTGTTTCTCCTGATGCAGATGACGCATTTGAAGCTCTGCGGATCGAGCCCTTCTCCAGCCCCCCAGAACTGCCAGATGTCATGAAGCCACAAGACTCGGGGAGCAGCGCCAATGAACAAGTAGTGCAGTGAGGGCCTGGGCCTGTCACCGAAGTGTACTGCCCCCCAATAAAAGAGATTTGGGTTATCTACCTGTTGCTGCCTCTTGCTCCTCCCATTTCTGCCACCCCCCTTCAGCTTGACAGCTGGCAACCTGCTGACCCCTGAAAGCATAAGACTGGCCGGGGAGGGAGCCCTGTGTTCCTGATACCTCCCGGAAACGCCCCCTCTTCCCAGAGCAAGACAGACCGGGAATGAAGGTGTGTCCGACGGCGACACACCCTGAAGACAAGGGTGCACGGGGCTGCTCCTGCATCACTTAGTCAAACAAGCCAGACTTGGTTCCTGCATTTCTCATTTTTATTTGACAGAAAAGGTTGCTCCTGCTGTACAGATTTAAAAAAACCAAATGCCTTTTAAGAAACATGAAGAGATGGGAGGGGGCAACAACCCAAGGGGGGGGGCGCAGTAAGGGCCGGCTAATTTCTAGGGCCCCTTCCAAGAATGCCTCTCAAATCATCTCCCCACCCCCACAGGGACTGGAGTGTGCCCAGGGGCGCCTCCCCGAGTCCTCAAATCCATCCCTCCCTAATTCCCACCTGTTTTCCCTCCCACCCCAGCCCAGCCCCCAAAACACATGAACCAGGAAAAACTCACAGAGATTAATAACATTTCACAGGAACAAAAGGAAAAGGGAAAAAAGGGGGCGGTTTAAAGAGGGGTCTCTTCTTCAAGATGTTGCCAGGGCTCAAGGGGGGGCAGACAACCCCCTCCTGCGGCTCTGTTGGGGCAAAGAACACTCCCTGTGGCTCCCTGGCACAGGAATGTGCTGGAATTTCCCCCCCAAGGCGATTTACGGAGACCTGCAAGAGAGGACAAGCTGGGATCAACATGGGGCCTGGGCTCAGCTTCCAGAGCCGCTGCTGGGTCAACGTTCTCCACCTTTGGGGAGGACATACCTGGAGGAGCGGTGTCGCACAGGCACGGGGCTGGGTGTCTCCCTTCTACGCTTGTGGCTAGGGGAGCGGCCGTCCCCATGCTGGCCTCTCCGGGAAGCCCGCTCACCACCGCTGCAACACAAGCCATGATGTCAGGCCCCGGGCGACTGGGCCTTTACCCCGTTAGCAGTCAGTCGGGGCAGCTGGACTGGCGAGAGCCTCACCTCTGCTGGTCCCGTGGCGGGGGCTGGGGTGAGGGACAGTGACGCTCCACAGGGGAGTAGCTGAGGGACCGTGAGTCCCGCAGAGAGTCTATCGGCTTCCGGGGGCTGCGAGACCTGAGGAGCAGAGGTGGCCTCCTTAGCGCCACACCCCTCCCAACCCGCCAGCCAGCACGCAGGACCACCCACCCAGGTCCTGACCACCAAACCTCACACCACACAGGGCCAGCCTCAGACCCACCTTTGTCCGCACTCACCCATCCGCCCGCACACCATCCACTGAGTGTCCCCAGTGGGCAGGCCACAGGGGACAGCGGGGGATGCAAAGATAAAGACAGTCCCTGTACTTGGAGGAACTCAGTCTGATGGTGGAAGGAGGCCAACAGGTAAGGCCCACATGGCCCCATGTGTGGGAGGCAGCCCCAGGGTCATGGATGTACACAGGTCTGGGGGCCCAGGGGAGGGAGACGTGGGCGGGGCAGGGCGGGGCAGTCTTCTTGGAGGTGCTGTTTGAGCGGAGTCTTGCAGAACGAGGAGTTCACCAGGCGGACAAGGAAATTCCAGGCAGAAGGAACAGCATGTCCAAAGGTATGGGGCTCTCCTTAGACTGCAAGGCGCTGAGTGTGGCTGGAGCCCAGGGCATGTGTGGGGGCGGGCAGGAGGAGCGCAGTGCGCGGGCAAGGCCAGGTGGTGAAGAGCCTCACACGCCATTCCTGCAGAGACGGGGCTTTGTCCTGCAGGCCACAGGGCGTCCCGGAAGGATTTGTGGCGTGGAGGGAAGTAACCAGATGTGCGTTTTAGAAACATCCCTCTGGCTACATGTGGAAGAGAATGGCGTGGAGGCAGGGAGACAGGGAGGAGGCTGTGGACAGAGTCGGGAGAAGATGACGGTGGCCAGACCAGAGCCCTGGCAGTAGCAATGGGGAGACTTAAAACTACAATCCCTGGGAGCAGGCTGCATGGTGAGGGCAGGGAAGAGACTTCAGAGGCCCCTTGTTCTGGCTGGAGGATGTACTCTGATCCTGCAGCCATGTGCCAGATCAGGGTACAGCAAAGCAGGTAGGGGAGACAAGTGCCCCAAATCCTTGGATAAAACCAAATGCCAACGTCCACGTTAGACACCCCAACAAGGATCTCACCCCAGGGTTCCACCTCCCATCCCTGCCATTTCAGGCCAGGCAGCACTCACCTGCGCTCGCCAGGGGGTGGCTTCTTGGGGCTTGCAGGTTTGGGCAAGGCCTGAGGGCCAGGCTTAGCAGGGGAGGAAGAGGAGGAGGAGGAGGAAGAGGAAGAGGAAGAGGAGGAAGACGAGGAGGAGGAGGAGGAGGAAGACGAGGAGGAGGAGGAGGAGGAGGAGGAGGAAGAGGAGCTAGAACTGGAGCTGCTGGAACGCCTCTTCCGTTTGGCTGGGGTGGGCTCCGGGGGCCGTCCCTCTCGCACAGCCTCCTTGGGGGCTGGGGCAGGGCTTGGGACCCTGTGGGAGAAGAGCAGTGTGACAAAGGAGACAAGCTGCCCCAGCCCCCAACCCTACCTTCCTTGGTGCGGAGGAACGGCAGTGGGGGAGGGGTGCCTGCCTGAGAAAGGCCCTGGGAGCTCTCCCAGCCTTGAGGACCGCAGCAGCTGAGCGCATTCTCTGGAGAGCAGTGGCCAGAGCTCTCCCAGCCTCTGCTAACACAAGCAACAGGCTGGGGCCCACAGCGCAAGGGATGCAAGGCTAAACCTCAACAAAGTCCCTGATGGAGGAGTAAGACCCTGGGTTCAGGTGTGGAAGCCGAAGCCAGGTGGTCTCCTTCCTAGGAGAGCCGCAGCTTGGGGAGGCCCCTGCGAGGGCAGGTTGGCTGGGGGAGGGGCCGTCCTGCCTGGAGGCAGGGAGAGGGATGGGATGACCTCTGAAGATCCTTCCAGCCCAGGGAGTTCCTCTTGAGGTCTAACTGCCATCCCTCCTGCTGTAAAATTAAGTCCATTTCCTCTAGTTCTGTCCTCTGTAGAGACGGAAAACTCATCATTATCCTCTAGAGAATCAACCTTTGGAGACTTATATCTGTCCCATTCCCCCCACCTCAACCCCCACCCCAACATCCTCTTCTACCCCAAGCTTAAACATCCAGGTCCCCCGTACCTGCTCTGAGAGCTAACAACCTCCATGACATGAGCCTCCCTCCCCATCCGCCTCCCCCTGTAACACCTTCCCTTAGAAACTTTCTCTAAGTCAAGTGCCGCACCTCTTTAGTGCCACCTCAGGCTGAGGAGGAAGGCTGGAGCCCTCCGAGTCGCTAGAACTGGAGCCAGATGATGATGAGGACGACGACGAAGAGGAGGACGACGAGGAGGAGCTGGAGGAGGATGACGAGGACGAGCTCCTGCGCTCCTTGGCTGGCTGCAGGGCAGCCAGAGCAGACTGCTGGGCCACGGTAGGGACAGGTGACTCCCCACCCTCGGGGTGTGCTACCCCAGGGGCAGGGCCAGAGAGCATGCCATTGTGGTCAGCAGCAGACATGGTTTTCAGCCCTGTCCCCGAGGAAAGGGCCTGAGAGCTGACTACAGTGCTGGTCTGGGAGACCACACGAGACTGATCTGAGAAAGCTGAGGGCACAGGGGACCTAGGCCTATCCTGTGCTGGAGGGAGAAGAGGCTGAGCAGGAGCCTGGACCATTCTCGAGCCAGGAGAGGGAGCCCGCTCTGAGGTCATTCTAGACTGGCTAGGGACAGGTGGTGGTGTTCTGGACCTAGCTCTGTCAAGGAGCTGTGGCGAGGAGCGGCCACTGACACGCTCATAGGCAGAGAGGTGCCCCCTGGGGCTGGTGAGGTTTGCACCGGACAACGCTGGTGTCAGCCGAGCGCCACCGAGACTTGCCGGGGCTAAGGCTGCAGGGCTTCTGGAGCTGGCAATATTCACAGGCGCTGCGCCATGCGCAGACCGGGCACCCACCAAATTTGCAGGGGCTGGAGCCTGGGGTGTCCTGGAGCTGGAGGGATAATTTGCAGCAGTTGGGGGTGTGCCAGAGCCTGTGAGACTCAAAGCTGCCAAGGCAGCGGCAGTTCTGGCTCCTGCTAGGTTCACAGCTGAGGCTGCAGGGCTGCGAGGGTCGGCAAGGTTCCCAGCAGGAGGTGCCACTGCTGTTCTAGGGCTGGCTAAGTTCATGGCTGCTGCTGCGGCGGGGGTCCGTGCGTCAGCCATGTTCACTGCTGCTGACATGGCCGGTGTCCGGGCACTGGCCAGGTTCATGGCTGCTGCAGAGGCTGCAGGAATCCTGCTAGCAAGGCTGGCAGCTGGGGCCGTTCTGAGACTCATGAGAGGCACCGGAGCTGGAACCTGAGACATTCTTGCAGCAAGGCCAGCAGCAGACATGGACGGAGGAGGTCGGGCAGTGCCAAGACTGATGGCCGTCAGGGCAAGCGCGATTCTGGACTGGGCATGATTTTCTGGGACAGAAGCTCTTGGGTGATCAGGTATCCGTGGTCCTGGACCGTCCATCATGGAGCCGCCAGCCTGTTGCAGGACAGACATGGGCGTCCGAGAACTGCCGAGGGGTTCAAGCATTCCAGGTGATCTGCATCGGTCAAGAGGTGTTGGTGACATGCTAGGGCGACTGAAGCAGCTCATTCTGGAACCACTGAGCGCTACTGGAGGTGTCCGAGACCCAGAGTGATTTCGCGTTGCCGGAGGAGTAGCAGAACGTGAGCGGTCAGAACTGCTTCCAGAGGCAGACCGCCTGCGAATAGCAGGAGGAGATCTTGTTAAGGACCGCTTGCCTCGAGTTGTTCTTGGAGTACGGGATCTGGAGCGGCGACGGATGGCAAGTGGTGAGCGACTGCGGGAGCGTTTGCGTGGCAACAGTGGCGTGCGAGATCTAGAGCGGCGTCGAATGGCTGGAGGTGAACGAGACCTCGAGCGGCGGCGGGTCACTGGAGAGGTCCGAGAGCGAGACCTCCTTCGAGCCACCGGAGAGGTTCTGGATCTTGATCTTCTGCGAGTAACAGGCGAAGCTCTGCTGCGAGATCGCCTCCTGGTCACTGGCGGAGTTCTTGATCTGGATCTCCTGCGAGTCACAGGTGGAGTTCTGGACCTGGAGCGACGGCGAGTTGTTGGGGTCCTGGACCTGGAACGGCGGCGAGTAACAGGTGGCGTTCTGGATCTTGACCGCCTTCGACTCACTGGGGACGCTCTTGACCGAGACCTCCGTCGCGTCACCGATGTTCTGGACCTTGACCGTCTCCGACTAACTGGCGAGGTCCGAGACCTGGACCTCCGGCGGCTGATCAGGGGTGTTCTGGACCGGGACCGGCGGTGAGCAGCTGGAGAGGCCCGTGATCGGGAGCGCTTCCACAAGGCTGGCGACGTGCGTGAGCGAGAACGCTTCCGGCTAGTTGGGGGTGTCCGAGAACGACCCCTTCGGCGTCGAGAGGAGGTTCGGGAACTCTCTTGCCTGGCAGGTGACCTTGAGTGGTAACCAGAGCCTCCCCGCCGCCGCCGAGTAACCCGAGACCTTGACCGGCTCCGCTGTCTTCTCCGAGAGGTTGACTGGGAAGATCCAGAGCGCTCCCGACGTCGGGCTGTTCTCGTTTTCTCCCTCCTGGAGCGAGAGCGGGACCTCTGCAGCCCGCGAGGCTTGGGAGAGGGAGAACGGCCTCTCCTTGACGTTGTCTTGGTACGGGGAGATGAGGCCGAACGCCGCCGGCGTGATCTCGATTTCTCAGTTGGCTCTGGGGAAGACACTGAGGGGCTTCGCCGGCGCCTTGGTGTTCTGGATCGGGTTTCTGGCGAGGAAGAGGCAGAGCGGCTCCTGCGGGAGGGTCGGGCCTTCCTAGTGAGCTCAGGTGACCGGGAACCACGCCGCCGGGGTGGTGTGCGCGATTTGGTCTTGGTCGGTTCCGGCGAGGACCTGGAGCCTCTTCGAGTGGCTCTTGTCTTGGGGGGGTGCTCTGGAGAAGACTCGGAACTGCTGCTGCCTTCAGGGGAAGGGCCTCTGTCCTTGCCCGAGGAGGCCGATCTGCTCCGTCTGGGAAGAGCCCGGGGGACGGGAGCCTGGGGTTCCGGAGAAGAATCAGAAGCACTCTGTGCTCTGGCTGCCACTCTAGCCACATCCTTCACCTCAGGGGAGGAAGCTGATCTACTGCGCCGTGAAGGCCGGGCCTTCTCCTCAACCTCTGGAGAGGACCCCGAGCGACTCCTCTGCCTCAGTGGGGCTCTGGGTTCGGCCTTCGAATCCGGGGAAGATTCTGACTCACTTCTTTCCTGTGGGGATGTGCTGGGCTTCCCATCAAGTTCTTGAGAAGATCCAGACCGACTTCTCTGTCCAAGGGGAGTTCTGGCCACTGCTTTCTGTTCAGTGGAGGACTCCGATCCACTTCGCTCCCTCTGCGGGGTTCGACACTTGTTGTTGAGCTCTGGAGATGATGGAGAACGACTCCTTGCTGTTGGAGTCTGAGGCAAAACTTTCGGTTCTGGTGAAGAGTCGCATTCACTCCTCCCCCTGGATGGTGTCCTAGGTGCTTCCTTTGTGCCAGGGGAGGAGCCAGACAGGCTGTGTCTCGAAGGCGTCCCTGACCCTTCTCTGAGCCCCGGAGAAGACCCAGACCTGCTTCTCCGTGATGGAGTCCTGGGCAAGCCCTCCTTTGGCTCAGGAGAGGACGCTGAACTGCCCCTTTCTCTCGAGGGTGTTCTAGCTACAGCATCATGAACAGGTGAAGAGACACTGCGGTTAGGAGACATTCCTGCCTTCTCCAGGACGTCTGGGGATAGCTCAGAGCTGCTGCGTCTGGAGGACCTTGTTGACTGTTCCTTCACATCTAGAGTCGTGTCTGTCTCGTGCTGAGGAATGAAAGGTCCACTCAAATCTTCCTTAACATCAGGAGAAAATCCACTGCTTACTTCTGTAACCGGGCCTGAATTTCTAAATTCTAAAGGTGATCCAAAGCTATTTTCCCTGCCAGGTGAGCTAGACACTTCTTTATGTTCTGGAGAAAACTGTGCTCCACCCCAGGACGCGGCCACTGCAGGAATTTCTACTGTTTCCAAAGAAGCTTGTGACTGGCTGTGGTCAAAGGACACAGGCCTTTCTTCTACCTTGGGAGACAATCCCAAGCTACCTGCAGCCACTTCATTCCGCTCCGGAGACACCCGGGGCAGAACCTGGCTAGTGGGCTGTTCAGATTTCTCTGTCACTTCCATGAACTCATCTTGGTTTACCTTCACTGATATGCTAGTTTGGTCTTTTGTATCTGCAGGTGACCCAGTGCCACTCCTTGGTGTCTCTTTTAGTATAGGTGAGGCCTCCAATTTCTCTGGCACCAGAGGACTAAATCTGCCTCTTGACCTAGGAGATGACGCAGTCATATCCTCTTGAATGGGGAAGGCTGATGTCTCTTTCGATTCAGAAAAAGGTTCTGATCTACTGTGTCCCAGAAAAGACTTTTGGCTCGCAGGATAGGAGCAGGAGTTAGACTGGGACCCGCCCTGTTCAGGAGGCATCCCTGATTTCAGCCTAGGACTTAACAATTCACCTCCATCACTCACTGGAGATCTTGAGGCCACCTCACCGACTGGAGATGACGACCTCGATCGGCAACCTTTAGGTGGTGTTTGAGATTTGCCCAGCAGAGACGAAGACTGCAAGTGCCTCTGGACTTCCGGACTTGAAGTGTCGGATCTGGGAGACTGAACTTTCTGTTGCAGAGAGGAGTCCAAATCGCTCTCTGCTGGTGGGGAGCTAGATTTCACAGAGCGACTCTGTGCTGCTGCTGCTGTGTCCTCAGGCTTCTCCTGGGGTTCTGGTGACTCTGACCCAACAAGACGCTGCCCTGATGGAGTTTCGGACTTGACCTGGAGGCATGGAGAAGTAGACCTTGAGCGAGTATGTCTTGGAGTTCCAGGTTTTGCTTTGGCATCCGGTGAGGTGGACCTAGAACGGCTGTGTCCTGGCAACAACCTCAACCCCCCCTTGGTGCACGGAGACACGGATCTGCCTTGCCTTGGAGGCGTTCTAGATGACACCCTACTAGGACTTGGAGAGGAGGAGCCAGAGAGGCTTCTCTGCCGTGGTGAGGACACAGCTGACACAGCCTTTCCTCGTGGCTGAGGAGATGCAGACCTAGATGGAGTCTGCCTTGGAGGTGTGCTAGACTTGAGCTGAGGAGAAGCCCCAGAGCAGCTCAGTCTCGGTGGGGTCCCAGATTTCCCCTCAGCATCAGGCGATGACTCGGACTGGCTCCGTCTTGGTGGTGTGGTAGACTGTTCGCTGCCCTGGGGACTTGCTCCAGACCCTTGTGGTGTTCCTGACTTCCCCTTAGGCCGAGGAGATAAGCTAGACTGACTCTGTCGCGACGGAGTCTTAGACTTCTGCTTAGGTGGTGGTGAAGAACCAGAGCGACTTCGTCTTGTTGGTGTTTTAGATTTTGCTTTAGGTTGGGATGATCCAGAGCGGCTGCGCCTGGGTGGTGTCTGCGACTTTTGCTTAGGGCACAAAGAAGACCCTGAAAGGCTTCGCCTCAAAGACAAGCGAGATTTGGCTTTGGATCGAGGTGAAGAGACAGACCTGCTACGCCTTGAGGAAATGTGAGATTTCTTCATTTCTGAGCTTGAGTTGGATCTGCTCCTCTGAGATGTTCTGGATTTGTTCTTCCTCTCTGAGGATGAGCCAGACCGTCCCCTTCTTTGGGGTGTTCGAGAGTGGGATCTCCCACGTCTAGCTACACTTCTGCTCCGGGACCTTCCTCGCCTTGCTGGTGTTCTAGATCGAGACCGCCCTCTCCTGGCTGGGGTTCTAGAACGTGAGCGGCCGCGCCTAGCTGGGCTTCTGGAACGTGATCGCCCACCACGCCTGGCTGGGGTTCTAGAGCGTGACCGGGCACGCCTGGCTGGGGTTCTAGAGCGTGACCGGGCACTTCTCCGTGCTGGAGATCTACTACGAGATCTCCGCCGCACAGGAGACCGGGTTCTAGATCGACGCCTGGCAGGCGTTCTAGAGCGAGACCTGCCCCTGCGGACGGGTGTTCTGGACCTGGACCGACGCCTGGCGGGTGTTCTGGACCTGGACCGACGCCTGGCGGGTGTTCTAGAGCGAGACCTGCCCCGCCTGGCTGGTGTTCTAGAGCGAGATCTGCCTCTAGTGGCTGGGGATCTAGAATGTGACCTGCCTCGCCTCGTGGACCTAGACCTGCCTCTCCTCTGGGTATTTCTGCTCCTGGACCAGCCTGGCCTCTGAGGAGACCTAGAGCGGCCACGCCGCTGGGGACTTCGTGACCTTCCCCACCTCTGTGCTGATCGGGACCTGCGCCACTGAGGGGACCGGGACCGAGATCGCCCCCTTTTGGCAGTAGCTGGGCTACGGGACCTCCCCCCTCTACGTGAAGGCGTAGGGGAACGTGACTTCTCCCGCTTTGCTCTGCCATGTGAGCGATTCTTGGATGTGGGAGAAGAAGAAGCCCCCCGGCGGGCCCCAGGAGCTGGAGTGGGCTTAGGACTGTCAGGGGATGAGCTGGCATGCCGAGACACTTTGGTAGCTTGAGGGGATGGTGGTGAGCTCTCTGAGGAAGATGGGGCAGGCTTCTCAGGAGACTTAGGTGGTGAACGGCCCCGGGTTGGGGAGGCCTCAGATGGAGGATTCACTGGCTCCTGACTTAAAGGGGTTGTTGCAAGAGGCTGTGGGGAGCTGCCATGCTGCATAGCAAGGAGTGGAGGGGGCTCAGGTGGTGCTGGGCCTGCACTGCTCCTTTCCGGAGAAGGGCTAGGTTGCGCTGCAGATTTCTGAGAGTGGAAAAGAGTAGGATAGGAATACATTAAACACCCAAACTTCCTGCTTCCCATAGATCGCAATAAACTTCCCAATGAGACTGCTCTTTCACACATCCCATTATATTAACTGTCTTCCTCCCAAAAGGCAAATCGTATGTATTGAATAATAAGAGGTCATACACAAAGCCTAAAGAAAGCACATAAAAGTGGCTATCTGTGGCCTCACATCTCACACTCTAGGCCAAAGCAAAAGGGAAATAAAAACCTACACTCAACAAATGTCATTACCGTGTATGAGAACATGAAAAAAGGAGTGATTTCAAATGCTAAAGCAATTTTCCAAAGTGTCAACTGACTTGATCCTTAAAAAACAGGCTACAGCAAAATTAAACAGCATCTGCATTATATCCATACCATGGAATACCACTCAGTAATAACAAACTACTGGGACATAATACTAGTACTACCCTGGGTTGAATCTGCTTGTGGCCTAACCTGAAACGGTTACACACTGCGTAACTTCAGCCAGGTAACATAATTGCAGAGATGGAGATAAGAGGGGAAAAAAGTGTGAAAATTTAAAAATGGCAACTTTGTAAAAATGCCATAATTCCCAACTGCAGCAACAGCAGCATCCTCACTGTGGCACTGCACTACAGTTCCGCAAGATGTTACCCTGGGGGAGGCTAGGTAAGTGGCATGCGAGCTCATCATATTTTTTTAAATAAAAAAAGATCCGTTTATTTGAAAAAAAAAAAAACAGCATGAGAAAAGACGAAGGTTTGAGAATATGGCTTGTGTGGGGAAAAAAGCAGATTAACATGGTGTAGAGTACAGAAAAGGACAACAGAAAGCAGATTAAAATCAGAATGAGAAGGTTAACTGAGATGAAGCAGTCAGAAGGCTGAGACAGCATGTTACAGTTCAAGCAGGAAGTAAACACCAGGGGAACTCCTAGAACCCCAACACTTCCGGTAGTGGGATCAGTGTTGAAATGCAGCAGTGCACGGACTGGCTGCCTACACCACAGCCTCACAGTGACGCAGGACCAGTAATATCCAGTGAGATCCGAGTCTAAAGAACCCACGATTCAGCCACAACGCTAATGGATATGCACATGGATAACAAAATGTGTTAACTGTAAGGGGAATATGGAGAGAACAGAACTCATTTCTCTAAGTAGGCTATCACCGTGCTCCTCTCACAGTCCTCTCAGTCTTTACCCTAGCAAGCCAACCAATGTCAATAAGCTCAGGAACATACCTCCTCCTTGTCTTTGTCCTCCGAAGGGCTGCTGGGCTGCTTGGTGGAGGGCTCCGGGCTGCCAGGCTGCTGCACGCTGGTGGCACCTGGCTCACCGGGAGGAGCGTCTCCCTCCCCTTGACGCCCTGAAGCAGGGGAAGGACTTCGCCCAGTCATGGCAGTTGCATGGGTTTTAGCTGCACCACTCCGAGACCTGAAGGAGTTAATTGAGGATTGGGGGAGGGGAGGGAAATCAGCTCAAGGGAGACCATAAAACCCCCTCCCTAGCTCCCACCATTTCCTAAAAAAAAAAAAAAAAAAAAAAAAACTCCTCAAAAAGCTCCTTCATACCACGTGGCTCAACTCACTGAAATCCAAGTTCAGTTTGCCCGAGTCTTTCTTCCCAAAGGATATTCTCCCTCTACCCTTTATGCACCTCCCCCAGATACCCCCCATCCCTCCACCCAGCCCATTCCCAACTCACCTGAGCCCACCTCCTGCAGGAAGCCTTCCCCGATTAAGGAGGCCAGGGTAAGGACTCCTTCCTCCCCCAGAGACCACGAACAACCCCCCCACCCTAGCCTGGCAGTCCTTGTACATCAGAAAGAAACAACAAGAACAACAACAAAACAAAAAACAAACAAAAAAAAAAGAGAAGGGGAATGTATATGTCTGTCCATCCTGTTGCTTTAGCCTGTCAGCTCCTAGAGGGCAGGGACCGTGTCTTCCGAATGGTCTGTGCAGCGCCTAGCACACCGTGGGCGCTCAATAAATATTAAATTGATTAACCTGCCAGTTCCCTCTCCCCAGCCCTCCTCCTGGACCACCCCTTACCGGCTGCGAGAAGTGTCGGAGGAAGAAGCAGAATCGGCAGAGGTTGATCGGTGGGTCCGGCGGCTCTTAGGAGCAGGTGTTGTACTTCTAGACCTGAAGGGAGACCAGCACCCAGCTCAGGAGGCCGTGCCACCCACATCGGAGCACCTGGGCTCCCCCTCAGCCCTTCAACACATCCCCCTCTGCTCTCTCCCCTACAGGAACATTCATCCACTCACTAAGCAAATCTCCTCAAGGCCACTTCACTCACCGCTTGCGCTTCTTGTCCTTAGATTTACGTTTGCTCTTCGGAGTAGGAGATCTGTGAAATAAGACACGGTTGTCTAAAAAGAAACCTCCCAAACATCAAGCAAAGAGCAGGCACAAGCCTCAAGTGATGCCTACCGCTCCCCTTGGCCTCAGCACCCCACAAACTCTTACCTATGCTTCCGTTTCTTTGACTCAGATTCTGATCTGGTGGGGGAAAAAAGGCACATGAAGCAACCCCTAGGCTGCGCGCATCAAGCCTTCTGCAAGTCAAGGAGCGCCCCGCATACCTGTGCTTCTTCTTCTTGGAGCTCTTCTTTCGCTCCCGACGAGGAGAGCTGCTCTCTGACCTGCTGAAGGGTTCAGAGGCAAAGTCATTCTGCCTGGCTTCTTTCTTTGCATTCTCATTTACAATTCATCCCCCCAAAGATTTCAAAAGCATCTGAACAACTCCAACACTTATGCCCCAGGCCTCAAGCCCAGCACTTCTTTCTTTGCTCTAAGAAGTATGGGTAACTGCTTAAATCAGCAATCGGCAAAGTTGTAGATTCAATCCATCCCCTCAAAAAATGACCCGCACTTCTCCCGACTAGCACTCTGCTTTCTTCTCTCCTCTTGGAAACTCAACTCAGAAAAAACATCTCCTTATTGGACTTACTCCCCAACCAACTTACCGTCCTCGATCTTTCTTCTTCTTCTTCTTCTTCTGCTTTGGAGTCGGGGAGCGAGAACTGCTGGACTCCCGGACAAGGCTGAGAAGGCGGGAAGGAAAGTTGGATGTCACACACACTCTGCTTAGACATTGTACCCCAGAGGACCACAGTCTGACAAGTTTGGGAAGAGCTCAGTCCCCCAGGAAACACAGAAGATGTGCAGGCACCAGGAGGAGGGCGGAGGCCGCGCTCGGGCTGTGTACCTGTAAGGCTTGGGAGGCTCAGCAGCCTGTTTAGCCTCCCGGGCTCGACGCTGAGGATCGAAAGAGCTGCCATCCACGTAAGAGTCACTGATGCCAAAGGCAGCACGGAGTCGCTCATTCTTCTTCTCATTCAATTCTGCCAACTGGTGAGTCTCAGTTACCCTGGTGAGGAAAAGGGCCAAATTGTGAAGGAAACATAAGAAGGCACAGGGAGAGAGGACAGCGATGGTGGGGCGACACTCACGTTGGCCTCTGCCCTGGGGTCTCCTCCTTGCCCCCAGGGTTCACATCCTTCTCCAGCAACATGAGTCGAAAGGTCGCCACTTTTTCCTGAATTTGTTGTTCCTCGTACCTGAAGGACAAACGCTGCGGTGTTAGAGCCTGACGGGACAAACTCCCCAGTCCGGGCTGACATTCACTGCATTCCCAACAGGATCCCTTCCTTCTCCACGCACACAGAGCTGCTCACTCACCGCCACCCTAAGGCCCCTTCTCTCAAGTCCTCTCATCTTTGCCCCGTTCCTTACTATTCCCTCTAGAACAGTGGATTTTAAACATACTGTGCTTCAGGGTCAAGATTCAAATTAAGCAGGCAGAGTTCCAAATGCTCACCCCAACTTCAACAAGGTTGAAAAAGGACTTCTAATTCCTGGGATTCCAAAACTGAATATAAAAAACAAGTGCCGCTGCTTCAGTTTGAAAACCACTGCTCTGAAAGGTTTTCTGCTTAAATGAGTTTCCTTTCCAAAGTTTCACTTCCCTACCTGGCCTATGGCTTGGTTACTTTCTGAGGCCTCAACCCTTAAATCCATTTACCTTCCTCCCACTTCTCTACCAACGACAAGACCGAGCAGCTTAGCCAGCGCTTCTCCTGCCTGGGCATGGCTTTCTTGAGTTTCCTAAGTATACTTTATTCCTCCACAGCCCCTCCTCTCCCCTGTACCACCATTTGAACAATTCCAATCTCCGTCTCCCCAGATGCCTACGTGTGCCCATTTCCTCACTTCCTACCTGACCTCCTCCCCTAGAGTTGCCTCTCAACCAGGCCTATCCTCCCTGCGTCCCACCTAACATCCAGCTCTGCACGCACTCGGTGCTCAGCTCTCCCCCCGTCCTCCCCTCACCCCTGCTCTTCCATCATCTCCTCCAGCTCGAGGCATCGCAGCTCCACGCGCCGCTTGCGCTCGTGGTCCAGGATGTCAGGGTTAGGCCGCTTCACCAGGGCAGCCTCCAGGCGCCGCAGCTCCTCCTCTCCCTTGTAGTCAGGCCGCTCACCCCGGCGGCCCCGCACCAGGGACAGGTTGCGCTGGACGTAGCCGTTGGTGCCGCTGCCCCGGGGCGTCGGCAGCCCGATCCCGTTGTACATGGCCCTGTGCCCGGGGGGCACCACCGCTCCTGGGGGGGAGCGGGGAGATACGGGTCAGGCCCCTGGCCCCAAACTAACCACCTACCGCCACCCACAGCCCTAGTTCAACACCTACCGTCTCCCAATGCAGCAGTTACTGCATGCTGCCACTTCACCCTCCCCATCTCCTAAGGAACTGGCTTCCTATCCAGAAAAATCAAAGCCTTTCCCCGAATGCTCTGGCACAAAACACTAAATCGTTCTTCCTTGCACCTACACGTCTCTTCCACCTAAGGCAGATTGGGATTCAATGTCTCCAAAATCGCTCCACATTGTCTTTTGGTCTCATTTTGATGCAAATGGTGCCTTCAACTACCTTAACATCCAAACTCTGGTCAATGGGCCTCTAGACAAGCCACAACACCACCAGACAGATCCACGCCACTAAAGGGCATCCATTTCCCGTCCAAAGACTTTAACCAACCTATCTAAGGATTTCAAACTACACTGCAGGAAAACAATGGAGTGACCAATTTCTAGGTGGGCACTTTAAGTCGCAGTGTCCAACACTGCCTCAACAAGGACTAAATTACAGCATGCACACACTAAACACACCTGGATTTTGGGTGATCGTATGGTTATTTCATCACCCAGGGAAAGAGCCATACCCTTGATTCCAAGTACTGACAGCTCTCATCAACCTTTCCCAGTGAGACTCACCAAAGGTTTTGCAGGTTTAAGTCCCACTAACTCCTGTGAAGTGCTTTTAACACAAAGCTCCACTGAAACATGTGCACACAGACCAGCCTTCGCTACTCCAAACGTCCTCAAGAGTTCTCTAGATTCTTTGCCCTGAACAAGACAATCTTCACTCTCCATACTTTCCTTTTTCTAAGGCTGCCCACTCCTCGCTCTCCCTACCTAATCCGTAGTTTCACAACTTCCCCCTCCCCAAGGCTCTGTGCTCTTATTTAAATCCCAGCATGACCCAATAATCCCCCAAGTCCCAGTTTTACTCAACTATACATACTCTGATCCTTTTTCCTGCAATGCAAGGATACTTGAAGAAATTCAGAAAAATAAAACACCTGTTTATTTTTACTGGAGAAGCAAACCATATTTATGTAGAGGAGACAGAAAGATCTTCCATCTGTTGGTTCACTCCCCAAATGGCTAAAATGTCCAGAGCTGAGCCCATGGAGACAAGAGCTTTTTCCAAGTCTCCCAAACAGGTACAGAGTCCCAAAGACCTGAGCTGTCATCTGCTTTCCCACGGAGCGGAATGGGAAGTGGAGCAGCCAGAACACAAACCAAACTCATACAGGATCCCAGTACTTGCAAGGTGAGGATTTAGTCATTAGGCTAGCACACCAGAACCCGGGACAATTGCATCTCAAACTGGCATGCCTGGTTCCAGCCTCAGTTCCTCGTTTCAATCCCAGGTCCCAGGTGCAGTGCGCCCTCACAGGCAGCAGGTGACTGCTCTGGCAGCTGGGTCCTGACACCTATTACAGACCCAGACTGAGTTCCAGGCCCCCAGCTTTGACCTGGCCCTGTTACAGGCATTTGGGGAGTCAAACACAAATGGAAATCAGGTCGGCCGGGAACCTTTGCCTCCCAATCAGCTTTCTGGAAAATGCACGAGTTGACATCCATGTATTTTTTCCTCTCAAGGACAGTTTTTCCCACATCCATCCTCTCCAAGACAGTTCCAGAGCGTAAACGTGGGAGGAAAAGCTAACTTAAGGGGAAAAAAAATCCCACAAAAGGCAAAGTGGGGGGAAAAAGGCAAAGAGGAGAGGTCAAAGCAGATGGAAATGAGATGGCATGGATAGAAGGCTACATTTACAAAGTTCCAGAATAGAGCTGGGCACTGGTCTGTGTCCCAAAGCTCCCTGTTCATGGCCTGGGAAAGAGCATGGCCCAAAGCCTTGGGACCCTGCACCCCTGTGGGGGAGCTGGAAGAGCTCCTGGCTTCAGACTCGCTCAGCTCCGGCTGTTGCAGCCACTTGGGGAGTGAAGCATAGTAAAGATCTTTCTCTCTCTCTCTCTGCTGGTCTCTCAGTAAATCTGACTTTTCAATTAAAAACAATAAAACTTAAGTGCACAAATGCATGCAAAAATTACCAGATGTTAATTCAAAAGAAAGCCTAGACAACTGCCGAGTTTGCCACCGCCCAGCCTTACACTAGGCCACTGCGCTCCGGGGGAAGTGCCAGCCACAGGAGGGCAGATGGGGCTCCATCTTACCAAATGAGTAACTCCTCTTCCGGTCAGTAGCTTCCAGCCAGCAGGTGTGATTCTAACACTAATGCTTCCATTCCAAAAGTAGCTCTTTCCCAACCCCACCCCCACCCAACTTTTGCTTCCTTTACAGAGTGCTTCTGGTCTACAATTAATTCGTCAGCGTGAGGGACGCTCCCGCACCGCTGACACCAAAATCCTCCCACTCCTTAAGGAAAACCAGCGGCTGCTGCGTCAGAGGCACTAAGTCACAGGGGAGTTCTAGAGCGGCGCCCCCGGCAGCGCCAGGAACACGTCCCGCCACGACCCTCCAAGCCCACAGGGCTCCCTAAGCTATTTCAAGCTGCAGAGGAAGGCAGAGAACTACCTGTGTTGGAGTTAAAATGCCAAAAAAATAATGAAGAAGCTATCTCACAACACAATTAAGGCATTCAATTTTTAAAAAACCACCAAATTGGAGAGAAGGGGTTTACCAAGAAAAGCGGACAGAAATAACGGCAAGCAGCGCCCGCGAGCAGCACCAGGGAGCGGGGCGGCCGGGGCCCGACCCCACGCCGGCCCCGTGCCCGGAGCGCCCGCTGGACCGGGCGGACCCCGACGGCGCCGGGCGAGCGGCCCTCGCGAGCCTCCAGCTTCGGGGCGGTCAGCAAAGTACAAGGAAATTGAAAAAAGCACACACACCGTCTATTGTACTTACGAAGCCCGAATTTTTTTTTTTCCTTTAACGTTTACGGTTTTTTCCCTCCCCCAATCACCTCAGGGCTGAAACTACCGAGTCCAAACGGTTCCCGGCCCCGCTCGAGGCCCGGCCCGCACCTATTTTCGGCCTTGCGAGGTGGGGGAGGGGAGCGCGGCAAGGCGCGGGGGAGGGGGCCGTGGGGGAGGGGAGCTGCCCGGCGCGGCGGGGGAGGGGGCCGTGGGGGAGGGGAGCTGCCCGGCGCCGCGGGGGAAGGGGCCGTGGGGGGAGGGGAGCTGCGCCCCGCGCCGTGGGGGAGGGGAGCTGCGCCCGGTGCGCCGGGGCGAGCGGGAGCGCGCCGGGCGGGTGGGGAGGGACGGGCCCGCCGCGGGCAGCGGGCAGCGGGCAGCGGGCAGCGCCGACCGGCCACCCTGGGCGCGCTGGGCCTCGCGCCGTGCCGCCCCTCCCCCACCCGCCCGGCGCGCTCCCGCTCACCCGCCGCCGGCTCGACGGGGCAGGGAGCCTTCCGCCGGCGCCGCCCGAGCCCCCGAGTCCCTGGGGGCCTAGTGGCCGCCGCCTCGCCTCGCCGGAGTGCCCACCTCACCCGACGCTGCCGCTCCTCGCTTCCTCAGGGGCCGCAGCGGGCTCCGACTGCGCCACTCGCACCCCGCCTGGGCCGCGCTGCACGTCAGCACGACCGAGTGAAGGCGTCAGCCCGCAAACGCGCGCAGCGCGGGGCCCGCTGGGAACCGTAGTACGCTCTGCGGCCTGTGCGCAAGCGCTGAACGCCCGTCGGGAAGTAGAGTTTCTTGTAGAGTGGGAATGGGGCCGTCTCATTGCTGAAGGACTACAACTCCCGTCGGCCTGCGCGAACGAGGGGGCGGGAGCGGGCCTAAGTGACAGCCTGTCCGCACTTCTCGGCGGCGGGGGGAGGGGCACGAACCTGGCGACGTCACACGTCGCCTCGGGCCGAGCATTCTGGAAGCTGTAGTTCAAGGCCTGGAGGGGACCCGTTTGTGCTTTCGCCCAGGAACGCGGTAGCCATTTTGTCTCCCCATGCTGGGCGGTGATGCCCCGAGTCCAGGGAGGCTTGCTCCCTCCAGGTACCCCCTGACTGCCGGACGAGCCTGCGGCTGCCCAGCACTACCCTTGTATCCGCAGTCGAAGTCGCCCCAGAACCCAGATACCGGGTGCTTCTGGCACCCCCAGCCTGCCCTAGGCCCAAGCCCTGCAGCAGAACAAACCAGCCATGCTGGCAGCTCTCACCCGCTGTGAACGGCTCATCCCCTGGGAAAGGTTTTCTGTAGCCTTCGCACAGATTCCCAGGCAGGAATGCAATCTTTTTGTACAGAACCTGAGATCCCTTATGTATTGGGTGTGAATGTGTGGAAATGCCTTCTGCTGGGTTATTTCGGGGTGCTCTAAGTTGCCCTTCCCGCAGGTGCTGTGGCGCCGGCATCTCCCATGGACGCTGTTGGACCCCTGGATGCCGACGCAGCTCCCTGGTGGTGGCCTAGGAGAGCAGCAGATGGCTAAATGTTTGCGGCCCTGCACCCACATAGGAGACCAGAAGCTCCTGGGATTGTCCTGCCCAGACCCAGCAGTTTGGGACATTTAGGGAGTGAAACAAGATGTGCAGATTTACAGAACGAAGTAGAGGCAGAGAAACCAATACCCACAACAATCAGGCTGTTCTGACCTGCAGCCAGAGGTCTCTTAGGGGTCTCCCAAGTGGGTGCAGGGGTCCCAGGACTTTGCCATCCTCCACTGGTCAGATGGATGGGCAGCAGAGCAGCCAGGACATGAACTGACACCCATATTGGATGCTGGTGCTTGCAGGAAGAGGATTAGCCAATTAAGCCACTGTGTTGGCCCCCAAATAAATAAAATCTTTTTTAAAAAATACTGTTGTGAGCTTGAGAACATGAGGAACCTCCCTCAGAATAGAATTACAATGAGCTGGGCTGTTCAGGGTCCAGTTTACATCTGGCCAGGACAACAGCTCATCTCCTGTCATCCAGCCTTGAACAGGATATAGTACCAGTACCTATCTGCCCTTTCGTGCGTGAGTGCTGGGGTCCGTGTGATGGGAGTGGAAGACAGGAAGGTGTGAAGAGTATCGTTCTATTGCAGGCAAGGTCGCAAGGAACTTCCCGCTGTGTGGCAAGGCCCGGCGGATGTCTCTACAACACCTGAATGCAGCTCTGCCTCCCTTTGCATGGACACCGGACAACCCCGCTGAGTATTCTGTAATCTATTTAGGCATTGTCTGCCTCTGCGGAGTTACTGTTTAATATCAATAGGAACTTAGAAGCTAATGCTGCTGGTGCCGTTTTTAGCCAAAGAGCTGTTGTTGCTGTTAGGGCTGCATCCTGTGGCAATATGTTAATCAAGAGTGTTAAATCCCCCTTTTGATCCTATGCTAATCAAGGGTGCTAACCCCCCTTTTTTGATCCTATGCTAATCAAAGGTGTTCTGTCTTCAGGTGTAGTGGGAATCTATTCTTTCCCTCTTTCTTTGATCTTTTAGGCCCCTTCTTTCCTTGACTGTCTCAAGACCCAGCTGTAAAGTAATTGTGGTAGGAATGTGCTACTGACTGATATGCATCATCTATTGAGAACCTTTTCCTAGCCAGGCGCCAGGTGCCAGGCACCAGGTGGTTAACATTCTAGCCTTAGGTGAAACAAATGGCAGAGTTATCTTTAGAAACCCCCGCTTGAGCGTGACTTAAAAAAGCCTGAGCCAGAGTTTGACTAAATAAATTTTGTATAAATAAAGCGGACAGCTTTTGTGCGTGGTCCACGATGGTCAAGAGTTCCTAGTGGTCCTTCTCTTTCTTTCTTTGCACCTCATCCACGCACCCTTCGCGAGTTCCGAACTCAGCTGGAGCTGGACTCCGGCATGTGAGGAATTTTATCATCTTTAAGATTTATTTTTATTGGCAAGTTAAGATCTACAGAGAGGAGAGACAAAGATTTTTTTGTCCTCTGCATCACTCCCCAAGAGTTTGTAACAGCTGGAGCTAAGCTGATCCGAAGCCAGGAGCTTCTTCCAGGTCCCCCATGTGGGTGCGGGTCCTAAGGCTTTGGGCCATTTTCTACTGCTTTCCGAGGGAAAGAGAAGTGGAGCAGCCAGGACACGAATCAGCACCCATATGAGAGCCCATCATTGGCAAGATGAGGGTTTATCCACTGAACTGTAGTACTGGGCCCCAAAATTTTTCTCAAAACAAAGCTGACGGGGCCTGGCACAGTAGCCTAGCGGCTGAATTGCTCACCATGAACATCATAGGATCCCATATAGGCACTGGTTCTAACCGTAGCCGGAAGATCTTCCTTTCCGTATATGTGACTTTCCAATAAAAAATAAATCCTTTTAAAAAGCTGATATTTATTTAAAAGGCAGATTCTCAGAGCGGGAAAGTCAGAGATCTACCATCTACTGGTCCCCAAATGACCATGGTAGCTAGGGCTGGGCCAGGCCAAAGCCAGGAGTTACCTGTAGGTCTCCAAAATGGGTGGCACAAGCACCCACATATGAGGGCTACCTTTTGTGGTTTCTCAAGGCTTATTAACAAGGATCTGGACATGAGCTGGTTTTGATGTGATATCGCCGCCTGCAGGCAATGGCTTTACTCACTGTGCATAACACCAAACTTGAGGTTGTTGGGGTTTTTTTAAATCTGTTCTGTGAGGAATGCTGTACTTTATAGCATTTTTTAAAGGATTTACTTATTTTTATTGCAAAGTCAGGTACATATATAGGGGAGGAGAGACAGAGAGAAATATTTTTCATCTGATGATTCACTCTCCAAGTGACCACAACGGCTGGTGCTGTGCCAATCTGAAGCTAGAAGTTCTTCTGAGTCTAACATGCAGGTGCAGGGTCCCAAGGCTTTGGGCTGTCCTCGACTGCTTTCCCAAGCCACAAGCAGGGAGCTGGATGGGAAGCAGGGCCCCCGGGATTAGAACCAGTGCCCATATGGGATCCCAGCCATGCAAGGTGAGGACTTTAGCCACTACACTATCGCGCCGGGCCCCACCCTGGCTCTTCTGAGCTCCAGTGGTTGCTGGAGCCTAGCCCAGTCTAACACTCCAGACCTAGTCCACACCAATGCTGAGGGATGTTGCAGTCTTGTCCAACCCTGTTGGCTGCCCCATTCTGGCTCTTACATTTACCAGTGAGAACCACAGCCCAGCTTGGGCATCCCCATAGCTCCCTGACCAGGCCCGTTCTCATCCACAGTTCTTGTACATGTTGGTGGTTGCTCCAGCCCAGCCCAGCACAGTCTAGCTCCCATCTTGGCCTTTTCCATTGGAAACTGCAGCCTGGCCTGGCCTGCCCTGGGCTGCCCCCAGTCCCAATTCTCACTGGTGGGTGCTGCAGCCTACATTCTGTCCAGCCTGCCCCCATCCCTGGCTGTCATGTGAACCCAGTGGGTACAATAGCCTACTGCAGCAAGGCTTGCTCCCCATCCTGGCTCCTGTGCATGCCGGCATGCTATGGTTTGGCTCGTGCTTGTCAGTTGAGAGCTGAGACGTGGGACAGACCAGGCTGGGCAGGGTTACAGAACCCATTGTCTTATATGTAAGCTTCGTTGGGGGAGAGCCAGACTGGGCTAAGTGACCACATGCACTATACATGCATGAGCCAGACTAAGTGCAGCTGCTGAGGCCTAGCAGCAGCAGCTGGCAAATCCTGGGAATGGGCACAAGTGTTATCAGGCTAGACTGCAGAACCACCTGGAAACTGCAAGATTCAGGCTGGGAGGGGGCCTAGTAGGGGAACTGTGGGCATCCCTTTGATGGGCTGCAGCTCCCACCTATGAGCATGAAAACCAGGGCTGGGGCAGGCCTGGCTGGACAGCCGGTGGCACTTGGCATAAGTGTGGGCTACAGAGTGTAATCAATCGGGCTGGTACCCACTGATGTGTACGAAAGCCAAATGGGATGCAGGATAGGCTGGTCCAGTCAGCTGCACATACCAGCATGCACAGGAGCCAAAGCTGAGGGCGAGCCTGGTGGGAGTTATCTGCAGTTCCTGCTGGTATGCAGGGGCTGAGTGTTTGGTGGACAGGGTTGGGCTGGGTCACAGCATCCGTTGGTTTGCATATGAAATGGAGCTGGTGGCTGCAGCCACCAGTGTGCATGTAGGCTGTTATGCGTGACAGACTGACTTGGGCCCCATTAGGTCTAGGTCAGGTGAGGTTTCCTCGGGGCCCTCCTCTACTGGACTCACAACTCCAACCACAGGGAGAATCACAGGGTCTCTGGTCTGACCGTGAGTACACATGTAAGACCTGGATTTCTTGGGTTGCTGAAGCCTCTGCAGCAGGTGGCATGCCCAGGTGCACATGGGGGACATGCCAGCTCACTGAGACCTGCAGAGGGCATCTAGTATTATAGCAGAGGGTAGAGTGCAGGACAAATTGGACCAAATTGACCAAGCTTTAACAGCAAGTATCTGGATGAATGGAGACTCTAAGGTGAACTATGTCAGCCAACAGACTTTGGAAAGATTTCCTCAACGTTGGAGCAACAGAATCAATAGCATCTCGGAACTATCAAAACCACTTAGGCAATACCCTTGGAACATGTTCCACATTGGGACCCTGGGATGACGTCAAGTGGTCGTTCCGTGTCCCCGCTGGGTGCAGCTTCTCCCCTTCTTGTCCTCCTTCCCTCAGATTCAGAAAGAAGAAAAAGAAAATTGGACACATATTGTCTCACCCACGTCCCCTGTTCCTTGACCTTTCCCACTCTAATAAATGGTCTACATGGGCATACATCTGAGGTTATTTTTTAATATTTTATATTTATAAATATTTGCACATTTATGTAATCATTCCTATTATAGTATGTTAATTATATATTTGTTATGATTAACTCTAATATTGATATGTAAACACTTCAGTATTTTAATATTTATTTTTTATTGGAAAGGCATTTCCGATTTACTGAGAGAAGAGAGACAGAGGGAAAGCTCTTCTGTCCGCTAGTTCGCTCCCCAAATGGCCACAAGGGTCAGAGCTCCTCTGGGCCGCTCAGACCTGTGTAGGGCCCAGTGCCTCCACACCTTCCTGGGGCACAAGCAGGGACCTGGAAGGGAAGTGGGACCGCCGGGATTAGAACCAGCGCCTATATGGGATCCCGGTGCATGCAAGGCAAGGACTTTAACCACTACGCTATCAGGCCAGGCCCATGTAAACAATGTTAAAAAGAAAATTCTTAAATAAAAACAAAACAGGCAATAAAGAGTGTTTTGAATATTCCCAATGTAATAGCAAATGTTTGAGGAGACAGATATCCAATATCTGACCCAGTCATTGCACATATGCACTGAAATACTGTATTCCATAAACATGTACAACTATTATTTATTAAGCAAAAAACAATCTATTGGGAGTGCCTGATACACACGCTCTTGACACTAAATCAATCATTCAATTCATCGAAATACTCGCTGAAGAAACAGAACTGCGCTGCCTCCAGGGGGCAGCCTAGGCCGGCAGGGACCCAGGCTGCCAGGCCAGCTCCTAGGACGAGGCGGCCTCCCAGCTGCCCCCTGCAGAGCTCGCGACCAGCACCCTGGGGTGTGGGTGGGAGCAGGCCCCTTCGGCCCACGGGCTGCTGGGCTGCAGCGGCAGTACAGGGGACGCAGGGGGAGCTGTGAGGCCTGACAGGCCCCTGTCAGCCCTGGGTCTCAAGGGGTCCAAGAGGTCCCCGTCTCTTGGGTACCCAGGCTGTGCACACCCCGGGCTCTGTCCTGCAGGGGGCGTCCTCCGCGCCCGGGGCCTGAGGAGGCAGAGGGGGCGCCAGGGTGCAGAGGAGGCGGCCATGGGAGAGCGACACGGGACGGTACTGCTGCTGCTGCTGGCGCTGCTGCTGGCCCGGGCTGGCCCCAAGCAGCCGGGTGAGCTTGGGGCGGCGGCTGATGGGCCCCTAAGTGCGAGTGGGCGAGGGGATTAGGGGCGTAGACGCCATGGCAACTCTTCCTTTCTCCATCCAGAGCCTCCGGAAGCGAACCTGTTGTCAGGTAGGCGCTCCGCACTTGGCGCCGTCCCCTCCCCGCCCCACACTGAGGATTCGTCCCAAGCAGCGGGGTCCTGAGGGGGAAGGGGCAGGAACCCGTGGCAGGACCCCAGGCGGGCTCCGGGATGAGACCCGACGGGGTGAGCCTTCCACAGGTTTCTGCTCGCTTCAGGACCATGCGGCCGCCAGGCCATCCCGTCGCGCGTGGTGGGTGGAGAAGACACAGAGCTGGGTCGCTGGCCCTGGCAGGGAAGCCTGCGCCAGTGGGGCAGCCACATCTGCGGAGCCAGCCTGCTCAGCCGCCGCTGGGCGCTCACCGCTGCCCACTGCTTCGAGTCGTGAGTGTAGCGCCCAGGGCGGGAAGGGGGCGGGGAGGGAACTCTACTCAAGTCCTTACAGAATATTTTTCCAGAACTTTGTCATACCCCTTTGGGTGGGTTGTCCTTTTTGTTTTTCAATTACAAATGGCATCACTGGCTCCCACCCTCGTTCTACTCTCAGCAGGTGTGGCTCACTGGTGTGGGGGGAGGGCATTGCACCTGGTGGGCAGCCAGCCCTGCCCAGTGTTCCTCACGCGCGCCCACACCTTTCTGGAGTAGAGGGCTCAGTGCCTGTGTCCTGAGGAGAGCTCTGAGAGGTGATAAGACCACAGGGGGGTACAGCCCACTTCTGCTGTGCCCCCCACCCCACAGGGTCCCCGGCACTGGTGCAGGGAATCTGTTCTCACTCTGCTGTCGGATGGACTTGCTGTGAGGGGCAAGTAGTTGCCCCTCAGCAGGGTTGGCCTCCAGGAGAGGCCCACGTGTGCTCAGATGCCCCCCTTGTCCCGCCCCTCCTGCCTGCCAGGTCCAGCGACCCTTTCGAGTTTACAGTTCAGTTTGGCGAGCTGACTGCCAGACCATCCTTCTGGAACCTGCAGGCCTACTACAATCGCTACGGGGTGGACCACATCTTCATGAGTCCCGGCTTCAAGGGCGACTCGCCGTACGACATCGCCCTGCTGAAGCTGTCCTCTGCGGTCAGATACACTGACAACATCCAGCCGGTCTGCCTCCTGCCCTCCACAGTGCGGTTTGAGAATCGCACAGACTGCTGGGTGACCGGCTGGGGCAATGTGGAGGAGAACGAGGGTGAGGCTGGGGGCAGGGTGGCCAGGGAACAGCCCTGTCCCAGCCTCCGAGCTCCCTGGAGCCTTGCCTGCCTGGCAGGAACCACGCACTGAGCCCCCAGCCCCGAGTGGCCCCAAGCTGTGGTATGAGAAGGAAGGGCTGCTCTCCTAATCTTCCTGCCCCAGCCCCCGGCCCTACACCCCCTCCAGGACCCCCTCGCCCTCTGCACTGCTCCAGCGCTGACCGGTGCTTCTGGAGCCCCAGCCCGCTCAGCCACCCTCCCCTGCCTCACCTCCCAGGGACCCCCTCTGTGGTGCCTGGCTACACGGCTCAGCAGCTGCCTCTCTCAGCATCAGTCCACTGGGATGCCAGTGATTGGGCTGGGCATGTTCTGTCCTGGCCACGTCAGCCTGCAGTCAGGGAAAGATGGACAGGCGCTGCTCCTGCATGGGCAGGCAGCATGGCAGCACTGCTCATGGCCACAGGCTCAGGAGCTATAAAGGGTCTTTCTGGAGTTTTCCTACAAATGAAATTGAGGGTGTTGCACAGTTGAAGCAATGAACAATGAATGGAGTTAGGGAAATTGTCCAGTGCCCCAGAACTGGTAGGGAGATAAGACTGGCAGGCTCAGACGGGGCAAGGGGTCAGGGTCGGGAGGATGGAGAGCACGGGGCTTTCCCTAGGGCATGGGTCCCTGCCCCTCCCTGGAGGGCTTGGCCACAGGCTCGTGGTGTGAGCCAAGGATGCACACTGGCTGCTGCCCTCCCCGAGTGTGCTAGCAGGAGGTCTTGGTCTCACTGTGCCTGGGTTCAGGGTAGGGAAAGCCCTTGCTGCAAAGGGCTCAGGGTGCCCAAGGTTCTGGCGTGGGCTGGGCACACCCTCCCAGGGCAGCTCTCGGTGTCCTGCCATGCAGGGCGAAGCTGCTGCATGTGACCAGGCTTAGGCTTCTGGGGACCCTGGATGCTGACTCCATCCAGAGCCCCAGAGGACAGCACAGCTCCTGGCTGCAGCTCTGAGACCCCAGGTGCTACTGAGGAGACAGCCCAGTAGGTGCCCCCCTGGGCTGCGGCTCCATTCAGGGACACCGAGTCAGGGAGCCCAGTAGCTTGCCTGCTCACTGGGGCATAGGGACAAACCGAGGTTCCTGTGATGTTTGGGGGCCGCAGTAGAGCTATGGAGCCAGAGCAGCTACATCCTAGGCCCTGCAGGTGCCCAGGCACATGCCAGCCCCAATGGCACTGTTGCTCAGAGAAGGGCCACACCATATCTTCCACTGTCTCCTGTCCCAACAGTTCTGCCGTATCCCTATACTCTCCAGGAAGTGCAGGTCGCCATCATCAACACCTCCATCTGTAATCACCTCTATCATAGAACAGACTTCCGCTGGAACATCTGGGGAGACATGGTGTGTGCAGGCGAACCCCAAGGAGGCAAGGATGCCTGTTTTGTAAGTGCTGCTCACTCCTTGCTCTACCACGGCCCCCGGGCCCTGAACCTGCAGCCAGCTGTGTCCCTGGGTGTCATCCAAGCCTCACATAAGCACCTGGAAACAGGCTGTGCCCCTACCCCCTCCCCGCCTTTGTGCATGTATGAGTCCAAGTGTGGTCACTGTGGGGAGGGGAGGAAATTTCTCTCACTGGCCCACTCTGCCCCTGCCCACGCCCCAGTCCCTGCTGGTGCCAGGCTGGGCTCACCCATGGTGCTCTGCAGGGGGACTCTGGTGGACCACTCGTCTGTGACACAGACGGCCTCTGGTATCAGATTGGTGTTGTAAGCTGGGGCATAGGCTGCGGCCGGCCCAACCGGCCTGGCGTCTACACCAACATCAGCCATCACTTCCGTTGGATTCGGCACGTGATGATCAACAACCCAGGGCCCACGCTGGGCCCCTCGCTGCCGCTGCTGACCCTGCTGTGTGTGCTGCGAACCCTGTAGCTCACCTGACCCCAAGGCCAACAGCAGGGCCATGAGCTGGTCCTGTCTGTCCAATTTCCCAATAAACATTAAAACAGTCCTACAGTTGCCAGCCTCCCTGACAACTCAACATCCAGCCGGGGCGGGGGGGGCTCCACACACACGGACCTCCAAACCTCGGGACCACTTTCCCCCACCTATCTGTACGCTCTCTACAGGGCGAGACAAATGCTGGGAGAACAGCAATGGCTCCAGGGCTCTGGGCACGGCGAGGCCCTGGGCTGTGCTGCCAAGGGGACGCGCTCCTGGAGGCCCACACCATGGTTCCTATCACAACAACTCCGGACTCTGCAGCCCACACATCCCCCTGAGGCTGATTGGCTGCGGGACATGGGTACAGGTGTTTACCTGGGGGTGGGGGAATCCCAGGAAGCTCAGGACAGGAAGGGGAAACTGAGACAAGGAAGGGAGAGGCGCAAATGCATTTGGAGGGACCAAGAGTCACCGACGTGGCAACAGACATCATCCTGCTGGGCCTCAGCCTTGGCTTAGCGAGGACAGGACACTGAGGAGGGGGGTCAACTCTTTCCCGAACCCCACCCACTTGATCTGAGGGTGTCCCAGGGCCAGGGTGCTCCAGGTGAGGCTGTTGGTGCCTGGGGGTCACTCAATGGGACATGGGACCAGTGGGCCTGCATCCACTGCCTGACCCATGAGGTTCCCTGGAGGGCAGGGACGTGTCCAGGTGATGTGCTGACCAGAAGAGGCACAAAGGCATCTGATCATAAGCCCAAATGTGGTGACAGAAAACTGGGAGATGCTGTGGTCGGAGTCTCTCGCTGTACCCAGGCACAGTGCAACTCCATAAAAGGGCACTGCCTGCAGGGAATTCTTCTCACCTGTCAATCCAGGAACAAAGTGAGGGTGGCTGGGCAAGGCCACTGGCACATCCCCAAGTCCCAGGGTCCAAAGCTCTTTCAGGCAGCTATGGAGGAGGCCAAGAGCCCTCCAGGCTGACAGGACACAGCCAGCCTCCTGCTGTGGCTCCTGGAAAGCTCCCAGAGCTACAGCAGGGGACATCCTGCTGGGCCACACAGCCCATCTGGAGGGTTTGCTGAGGCTCCTCTCAGGGAGCTAGACCAGGAGCCAAGCACGGAGTGGGGAGAGCGGGGCCACCAGCAGCCCAGGGTACAGGTGAGAGAGGGCTGCTTCGGGCCCAGGAGCTGCTGGGCTACAGCTGCGAGTGTGGCTGGGGACAACAGGGTCTGTGAGGCCTGAGGGTCCCTGGCAGCCCTGGAGAGGTCCAATGAGGACCTGGTCTCCTGAGTGCCCACTCCGGCTCTGTCCTGCAGGCGGCGCCCTCCATGCTCGGAGTCTGAGGCAGCAGAGGGGGCGCCAGGGTGCAGAGGAAGCGGCCATGGGTGCGGGGGCTGGGACGCTGCTGCTGGCGCTGCTGCTGCTGGCGCGGGTGGCCCCCGAGGGGCCGGGTGAGCTCAGGGGTGGCTGCTGGCCGCTCCCGAGGGGAGGGGGGAGGCCGGGCGCGTGCACGTCCAGGGAACTGACCTTGCAGTCTCCACCCAGAAGTGCCGCCGGGAGAGGAGCCGCTGTCAGGTAAGGTGCCCAGGGAGCGCTTGCCGCGCGCGCAGTGCCGCGGTGCGGGGAGGGGGAGCAGGCAGGACGCCTCACTTTTCTTCTCTGTTCCAGGTCCCCTGAACACCATGCTGCTCTCAAGTAACCCTTGGGCCCTGGGGGCGGAGCGAGCGGTGGGCACCGAGGGAGGGTCCCGGCTCCACCTGGTCCCGCTGCGGGGGTCCAGGTTGGAAGCCGTTTCTCCTCCCCCCCACCCCCACCACCCCCAATCTCTAGGGGAGGCCCGGTGCGCCTCTGTGCCTCACTGCATCTCGCTCCGTTCATCCAGAACCTTGTGGCCATCGGAATATGAAGTCGCTGATCGTGGGCGGGGTGGAGTCGGTCCGGGGGCGCTGGCCGTGGATGGCCAGCCTGCTCAGGGATGGTGTGCCGGTCTGTGGGGGAACCCTGCTTAACAACCGCTGGGTGCTGACAGCTGGGCACTGCGTGGCAAAGTGAGTTGGCAGCGCTGGGGAGAGGGCAGGCCATGAACTTGCCCTCTCCATGCAATGCCCCAATGCTTCTCCTGGACTGTGGTTCCCACAGACGTTAGGACCCCTAGGTGCTCCTGCAGGAAGCCCTGTGCATATTTTTCCAGAATGTTCTTCCAGAACAATCCCATACACCTTGGGGCCACTGTTTGTCTTGCCTTTCAAACACACAGGGGCTTCCATTCTGATTCCCTCTGAGCAGGGGTGGACCCAGGAGCAGGAGTGGGTGGCATAAGCTCAGGGGGCTGCCGGTAAATGGTCACGCCTCTGCCTCCTGCGCAGCGCCGATCCTGGTATCTGCTGCAGCTCAGTCCTTGCTGGGCTGCACAGATGCTCCTGGAGGGCTGGGCTGTGTCCCTGTGGGAGGACAGCTGTGGGAGGGGGCAGGACCAGGGTGAGGGGAGGAATCGCCGCTCAGACTCCCCTCTGCCCCCAGGCTCTGGACAGGCCTGCTGCTGTGAGCCCTCAGTGTCACCTCCCTGGGTGGCCCTCCTGCCCAGCGCCCTGCCTTCTCTCTCCTTTGCTGCCAGGGCCCGGGATGTACACAGGTGGCACGTGCAGCTGGGTGAGCTGATCAACAAGGCGCCTTTCTACAACCTCCGCGCCTGGTTCACCCGGTACAGTGTGCGGAGGATTGCTCTGTACCCTGAGTTCAAGGGCAAGGCCAACGACATCGCCCTGCTGCAGCTGGCCTCCCTGGTGACCTACAGCAGCTACGTGCAGCCCGTCTGCGTCCTGTCCTCCACCGCCATGTTCCAGCACAGGCCTGACTGCTGGACCACTGGCTGGGGCAAGATCTTAGTCAATGAGAGTGAGCCAGGGATGAGTGGGCTGGGGAGGGGCGGGCTGTGTCGCAGATGCCCTGTACTAGCCACAGCTGGCACCGCATCCTGGGGAGCCCTCTCCTTCCCGCTTGCTCTCACCACTGCCACTCCCCACTGTTCCCACCCGCAGTGCAGGCACTATGCGGGCCAGCAGCCTAGGTGGGCAGCACAGAAAACTTCCTAGCAGGTTTGGTGGTATCTCAGGGTTCCCATCAAATATGACCATGCCATCTGCCAACAGAAGTACTGGACTCGTGTGTGTGTCTTCTCTGTCTGCCTGGGCCTGTACCTCAGTTCTGTGTGGGCAGAAGGGGCAGGGCAGAACACCCGCCTCCCACCCCGCCTCCCGATGCCTGGCAGAGCGGCTCAGGCTCCAGTGTGAGCACGGTGGCCGCTACGGCTCCCTATGTGGGCTCGGCCCTTCTATCTGAAGGAGTATGCACACTTTGACACATTTGTGGAGTCATGACTTAAAGGCACAGGAGAGGACACAGGCAGAGCGTCTCCCATCTGAGGACCACCCTGAGGTGAGGCAGCACTCCCAGGGGAACGTGGGGTCTGTGGTGGTGGCCTCTGCTGCCGCACTCCCCTGCATCTATATGAGAGATCTACTCTCCACCTGCTGATCCGAGCTCGCGGCTGCAGCTCTGGCGTCTGCGGCAGGAGATGGAAGATCTTTGTCTCTCTCGCTGCATCACTACCTTTCAAACAATGAATAAATCTTGAGTCGGTGCCCTGGTGTACCAGGTAGAGCTACCATCTGTGGTCCGGTATCCTATGTGGATGCCGGTTCAAGTCCCAAGTGCTCCACTTCCCATCCCTTCCCTGCCAATGTGCCTTGTAAGGCCTCACAGGGTGGCCCAAGTGCTTGGGTGCCTGCATCCACGTGGGAAACCCAGAAGAAACTCCTGAATTCTTGCTTTGGACCAGTTCAGCTACCTCCATTGTGACCATGTGTGGAATTAAATGGTGGATGGTAGATCTTGCTCTCTCTCCCTATTTCTGTGCCTTTCCAATAAATAGATCATTTCTTAAATGAACCTTACTGAACATTCTCGCTCTGCCTTCTACCTGTTCCTGTATGTTGCTGTGGATCTGTGAGGCTGTCCTGGGAGGAACACTCGTGTCTGTCTGCTCCGTCCCTTACGGCTTACCTCTGTAAAATGCTGTGGCCCCCGCTGTGAGTGCTGACTTGAAGTTGTTCAGCGTGGGGCCAGCTGGTTGACAAGCTCAGCCCTGTGGTCCTGCTGTGTGGACTAAGGTTTCCATCCTGCTCTTTTCCCCCTAGGCAAAAGGCCCACTCCCTTCGGCCTGCGCGAAGTGCAGCTCAGCGTCCTGAACGCCTCCCTGTGTAACTCCCTCTTCACGCTGCCCGCCGAACGCCGGTCAGTTCGAGAGAACATGATCTGTGCCGGCCGAGAGGAAGGCGGTATAGACGCCTGCAGTGTGAGTAAACCACCGTCCTGCGGGGCCCAATCCCGCCACAGGTGCCTCAGCCTTCACCATGAACTGCTCCTTCCCACACCTGGGCCTCATCCTCACGCCCGCTGGGGGTGCTGCTGCCCCACTGGGCAGGCCCACCCTGAGGCCTGTTCACATAGTGGGCTGGGGGAGTGGGCACAGTTACGAGCCCTGCACCCTCTGTTCCCTGGGCCCTCTGGCTCCTCCGGCCCTGCCCAGGCCGTGCTCACCCCTGCTGCTCCCCAGGGCGACTCTGGTGGACCCTTGGTCTGCGACATCGATGGTATCTGGTACCAGGTTGGAGTTGTGAGCTGGGGTGTGGGCTGCGGGCTGCGCACCCGACCTGGTATCTACACCAACGTCAGTTTCTACTTCAGCTGGATAAGATTGCTGACAGCCCGTGGTGCACCTTCGCCAGACCTCTCCCCTGTGTTGCTGCTGCTGCTCGCTCTGCCTGCTGCCGCCCCAGGCCTGTGGGCAGCTTGAGCTCCCGCCCGCCAATGAGGGTGTGGCAGGGGCCAGCATGCCAGTCTGTCCCGTGGGGTGGCATGCAGGGCTGGGGGCTGTGCACCGGCCTTCCATTCCCCGTGTCTCATTTGTTAATAAACCTGTGGTCGAGGCCCAGCTGTCGCTGATAAGCCAGTGGTTTCATGGGCACATCCCTCGGTCAGCCCTGTGCAGTCCAGCCCACAACACCGCCCACACTCCCAGGCCTCCCGTCTGATGCCCCAGGCTTTGGTTACAAACAGCAGGAGCCTCTGCAGGGTGTGTGGGCGCCAAGACAAGTGCTGGGAGTACAGCAATGGCTCCAGGGCTCTGGGGTCGGGGAGGCCAGGGCTGGGCTGCCAGGAGGAAGGGGAAACCGGGGCAGGGAAGGGAGAGGGCAAGTGTGTTTGCAGGAACCAGGAGTCACCGATGCAGATGACTGTCACTCCATCCTGCTGGGCCTTAGCCTTGGCTCAGCAAGGGCAGGACACTCGGGAGGGGGCAGCTCTCTCTGGAACCCCAACCCTGTCTTCTTTCCCTGCATGACCTGTCACTCAGGCAATGCCGAGTTGCTGTGGGTGCCATCAACAGTTTTAGTTGGGGAACCCCAGGAGCCAGCAGCAGTTGCAACGGGAGGGGCAGAGCCTGTTAGGGGATTTCTGGGGTCAAGGGAGCACAGCTCTGACCCCAACTCCAGACTTCTGGCTTCCAGAACTAGGACTGGACAGTCTTATTTGCTTTTTAAAAACAGACATTTATTTATTTACTCATTTAAATTGAAGTCACAGAGAGAGGAGAGACACAAAGCTCCCAGCCACCAGGGTGTCTGCAATGGCCATAAACGCCTGAGCCATGCCGGGCCACAACAGGAAGCTGAGGCTCCATCTGGGTCTCCCGTGTACGGAGCAGAGGGCCACATGCTCAAGCCTCCTTCTGCGGCTCCTCCAGGTCCCTAGCGGGATGCAGCACTGGAAGTGGAGTGGCTGAAGCTCAACCCGGGGCTCGTAGGAGGATGCCTGTAGCAGGGGTCACTTTAACCTGCAATGCCACAAGGCCAGCCCCTCCTGCACACAGAGCTGGGCATTCAGACAAGCGCCAGTGCACAGGGGCTGAGTTTGGACTCCTCTCTTGTGGAATTAATTTTGTTCCCCTTTTCCTCCTGTAAGGGTTTGCAGTTAACTGTGGTCCCTTGGCAGAGTGAAGATTCAGGCAGCTGGAGGTTGGCGCTGGGGATTGGGCAGGCGCCAGCTGCAAGTCCTATGTCTGTTATAAAAGAGGTCAGGGACACATGGGCAGGCAGGCACCAGTCCCCCTGTGAACACCCAGGGGGCTTGCTTTGTGGGCTTCTGGTCAACATGTATGAGAAATTACAGATACAATGATGGAGCACAGTCAGGAAAGCTGCCACCTATGCCACCACATTCCATAAGGGTAGCAGAGTCCTGGCTGCTCCACTTCCAATCCAGCTCCCTGCTACTATGCCCAGGAACAACAGCAGGTGGTTCCCTAAGATTTGAGTCCCTGTACCTATGTGTGACACCCCAATGAAGCTCCTGGCTTGCAGCTTTAGCCCAACCCTGGATGTACGGCCATCTGAGGAGCAAACCAGCATATGGAAGGGCTCTGTCTCTGTTTCTAACTCTTTCAAGTAAATAAATATATTTTTATAAAACAATTAATTAGGACTGACACCTGTATCCCGCCCAGCAGTCTGCCTGCCAAGATCCCTGGGATTCTCTGAATGACAGTGAGGAATCCTGCCACAGCTCCACTGATAACAGCATAACAGGTGACTCAGAATTACTCACCAAGGACAAGAAAGGCTTGGACAGGGTAAGCACAATTTGCTGCTGAGTGAAATTACAACACGAGAAGACATGGTATGCTCATAGTACCAGTACTGTTCACAGGGTCTGGATTCCATGCCTTCCCTACCAAACACCAAGAGTGAAAAAAAACTGACTCAAACTTCGTTTGGGGTCTTCAGGGGCACCCGAATATCCAAAACCATCTTGAAAAAAGAAAATCTGGAGGACCAATAATTCCTGGTTTCAAAACTTACTAAAATGCCACAGTCATTCACACAGTGTGGAATTGGCAGTCTGACAGAACAAAACATATCCCCACAGACCAAGGCCCTGCAGTGGGAAGGAGAGTGTTTTCAAACTGTGGTGCTGAGGACGTTGGAGATCTACATGTGAAATAATGAAACTGGAGCATACCAATCACCATGCACAAACATTAACTCAAAATAGATCAGAGTGGACAGGCATCTGGTCTGGTCTTACGACGCTGGTGTGGGATGCCCAGATCCCACAGAAAGGGTGTGGCTTTAGGACCCAGCTCCATTTGGATTCCAGCTTCCTAGTAATATGCACCCCGGAGGCAGCAGGTGGTGGCTCAAGTGGTGGGTCCCTCCACTCCCATGGGAGACCTGGGTGGAGTTCCCACTTCCTGCTTTGGTTGTCCAGCGTGATCATTTGGAGAATGAATCAGTGGATGGGATGCTTGTCCTCACACTCACTTCCTCTCAAATAAAATTTAAAATGGTTCAGATATAAATGTAAGACCTAGAAGTTTAAAACTGTTAGAATATATAAAAAACTTCACAATGATAGCTTAGCAGTGATTTTTTTTAAATAAGGATTTTAAAAAATTGTTTGCATTTAAAAGAAAGGTTTATACGGAGAAGGAGAGACAGAGAAAAAGATCTTCCATCTGCTGATTCACACTCCGATGGTTCACAATGGATGGGGCTGATCCAGTTCAAAGACATGAGCCAGGAGCCTCTTCTGGGTCTCCCATGTGGGTGCAGGGTCCCAAGGCTTTGGGCCGTCCTCCACTGCTTTCCCAGGGCACAGGCAGGGAGCTGGATGGGAAGTGGGGCCGCCGGGACAAGAACTGGCGCCCATATGGGATGCTGGTAATTGCAGGCAGAGTATGAGGCAGTTGAGCTATGCTGACCCCACAATGATTTTTCTTTAAAATTTATTGATTGACTAGAAAGGCAGAGAGAGGAGACAAGGGCAAGCTAACTCCCTTCACAAACACTCGGAATGCCAGGGCTGGGCTGGGTAGAGGCAGGAGCTGGCAACTAAGTCACAGTCTCTCACGTGGGTCACAGGAACCCAGTCACCCGAAACATGGCATGCTGCTCAGCAGGAAGCAGCGCCCGGAGCCGAGCTGCGCATCCAGGCTCCTGCTGTGGCTGCAAGCCTCCTGCCAAGCCCAACACCCTCCGTGACTCCAACACCAGAGAGCACAGGCCGCAAAAAATTGGACTTCACTACAAATGTGAAATTTTGTCTAATAAAAGACACTTCATAGAATAAAATGACCACCTGCAGAATGGAAGGAACTCCTAGGCAGCCATGTGCTAACAGGAACCAGATTCAGAGCCAGTTCAGTCACACGCTCACATCTCCAAGGTAGCGCAACATCATGGCAATAAATTCAGGAACTGGCCCAACTACAGGACCGCGAGCCACAGGACAGTGAACAACACGACAGTGAGCCACGGGACGGTGAGCCACGGGACAGTGAGCCACGGAACGGCGAGCCACGGGACGGCGAGCCACGGGACAGTGAGCCACGGGAAGGCGAGCCATGGGACCGCGAGCCACGGGATGGCGAGCCACAGGACCACGAGCCACGGACGGCAAACAACATGACGTTGAGCCACGGGACGGCGAGCCACGGGACGGTGAGCCACGAGCCACACGACACGACTCGACCTCACATCATTCAAAGATAAAACCAAAACAGAGAATACCACATATTGGTGGGGAACCCTGCAAGCCTCCTCGACTGATGACTGCGTGAGCTAGCTGGTGCGCCCCACGCACCGGGACATGCTCCATTTCACAGGGCGCAGGGATTTGGGGGGACAGCAGTGTGGGGTGGGGGCACCTGACAACATTCATGCCTGGAGACCCCTGATCACACACTGACCCGAGCTAGCACAGGCGCAGTTCTGCATAGATAAGCACAGTGCTAGATTACAAAGCAGAGACCCTGTGCGTCACAAGAGTGCCCAGATCCGTAAGGAGCAAACTTCCAGCTGCCAACATGCAAGCATGCTGAGCTAAGCCAGGGCAGCAATGCCAGTCTGTGGCCTGGTGCGGCAGTGAGTCAAACTAGAATGGCGCCGGCATCTGAGGGCCTGCTTTGAGTCCTGGCTGCCCCCTCCTGACCCAGCTCCCTGCCCAGTCACCTGGAGGGCACTGGAAGATGGCCCAAGTCCACGGGTCTCTGTGCCCACACAGAAAGCCAGGATAGAGTTCCGGGTTCCTGGCTGTTGCGGGGCATTTATGGAAGGGCTGGCTCTCTCTCTCTCTCTCTGCCTTTCAAATATTTTTTGAAATTCATAAAAAAAAAAAAAAAAACAGAAGAAAGGAGGTTCATGAGTAGAGCCTCAGGCTGTGCTTTTCCTAGTTCCATTCCATCCAGCAGGGCTGGGGTCTGGAAGGGAAGGCACAGCCCTGAGGGGAGAGGGGAGGGGAGGCACAGCCCTGTGCGGGGGACGGGAGGGGAGGCACAGCCCTGTGCCGGGACGGGGAGGCCAGGAGAGCGGGGAGGCCAGGAGAGCGGGGAGGCCAGGAGAGCGGGGAGGCCAGGAGAGCCGTAGGCCAGGAGAGCGGGGAGGCCAGGAGAGCCGGAGGCCAGGAGAGCGGGTCATAGCAGGCCGCCACCTTCAGAGAGCCCGTGCCTCCACAGCCACACCCCATTCCCATGTCGGCCTTTGAAAATTACTTCTTCATTCATTCATCCACGGGAGACAGAGACAGGCAGAAAGAGCCCACTCTCGCCTGCTGGTCTACTCCCCAAACGCCTGCAACAGTCGGGGCTGGGCAGGGCCAGGAGCCAGAACTCAGCCCAGGACTGCCCCCAGGACTGCCCGCAGGACTGCCCGCAGGAGCTCCCCTGCTGGAGCCACCACCTGCTGCCTTGCACAAGTGGGACAGGGCTTGGAGCCAGCACTTAAGCCGGGCACTCTCACACAGGACCCCAGGGAGGCTGCTCCTGCGCAGGGAATGGGCCTTGCTGGGCGCCGCCAGGCCCCTGGCAATGGCCGCCTGTGGCTCATGGCCACCAGGCCGGAGTGGCTGGTGAGACTCAGCGGCGGAAACGCATGGAGCCACCGGACACAGGCACGGGAGCCCGGGGCCCCACTCACCGCCGCCAACCTCGCTGCTCCCAAGTCCACGGTGTCTGCCTGGACACCGGCCTGCGACCAACATCCAGGGCCGAGAAGAGAAGCACGATGAGATGGGGGGAGGTGGAGGGAGGACGGGGGGCCCCGGGAAGGAAAATGGGGAGCAGGCGGCCACCCCTGAGGCAGCTGCAGGCTAGCCGGCAGCTGAAGACGGTGAGGCTGACGGGACAGATGCCCCGAAGAGGAAGGCAGCAGAGGGTTATGAGGAGGCAAAAAAGGGCAAGATTAAATTTTAAAGACAATAAAATTCAAATTCGAAGGGCCACCATGACCTGTGACCTCTGGCCTCCAGGCCCGGTGGGCGTCGCCTGCAGGCCACGCGCACGCGCTCAGGCTTGCCTGCCCTGAGAAAGCTCCGCCTGCGCTTAGCCGCGCGTGCCTGACTGCTGTGGTTAAAAAGGCCAAAGACAAAACGATTTCCCTCTCTTGTTTTGCCTATGAAGTTGCAGTTTAATTATCGTTATTGTTGCTGGCCTGTTTGATGTATGTGTTCAACTGTTCAACAACAGAGCAGAATTTCATACTGATGAGCTGTTCTAACAACAACCAAAGCAATTTTTTCTTCTGGTTACCATTTATTTTTGACACTTGCACTAAAGGAAATTTTAATTACACAAAAGGTTAGGCAAGATGTGGAGTTAAATGCCCTGGTTTTCTTTTCTATTTTATGTATTTGGTTTCAAGGCTGACTGTAGAGACAGATTTCCACTTTCCCCCATGGCTGCAAAGACTGGGGCTGGGTCCAGCCAAAGCTAGGGGGCCCCTGCTGGTGCCCCATACGGGTGGCCAGGGCCCCAGCACTGGTGCTGCATTGCCAGGGCTGCAGCAGGGAGCTGGGTTGGAATGCAGGACCAGGACCCAAATGGTGCTCGAAGGGTGCTGGCTTAACCCACAGCACAGCAGCCGCCCCAAAGACACTTTTTCCCAGGAGAGCGGTGAATATTTCTGGGGAAACAGAGAAACAGCTCTTACAGGATGGGGACCACTGAGCTAATTCCTGCCTGTATGACTCTGTCCCAGCACTGCCTGAGTGAGGCTGGGGGCTCCGGCAAGAGGATGGCCTAGTGCCTGTGCCAGTATGAAGTCCCTGAGCCTCGCGTCTGAAGGGCAAGGAGACCAGAGCCCAACACCCTGGCAGCCATGCCAGGCCCCAAAGCTGGGAGGAAAGGGCAGCATTGTTCAGCATCCTGGCAGAGCCAGGGCTCTGGCACCTGGGGCAGGGACGGGAGCAAGGGTTGCGGTAGGCTCTGGGGAGGTGGGTTCTCAAGGGACAAAGGGCCTGTGTTGAGCTTCCTGGGCCATGGGATTGGGGCCAGCATGCAGGACTGCCCCAGGTGTACAGCTGGTGCCAAGCAGCTGTGCCCAGTGTGTGGGTGCTCCTGTGTGTTGAAGCGGCTAGCCAGCATGTGTGGGGACATGCGTGTATGTATTTGATGTGCCTGTTCACATGTGCGTGGGGGCATTGGCAGCGTACACATGTGCCCTGTTATTGGGCACTTTGTGTATGCCTCCCCCAGCCAGGCTGGCGATGCTGCTTCCTGGAGTCCCGGCTTAAATAGACTCTCCTCTTCATGGGCCCTGAACTTTGCCAGCCTGGAGTTAGAAAGATGTCCAGGACAGGGCCCTCAGGCTGAGCAGGGATGGGAACACAAGTCCCCTTTGTTGGCCGCTGGGCTGGGCCAAGGACTCAGGTTCCACCTCCGGGAAGGAGCTTCCTCTTGTGCCCCTAGGAAAGTGGGGTCAGGAAGGGGAGGAGAGCTGGGAGGACAGCTGCAGGGGGCACCCAAGCCTGCGCCAGCCAGGCCTGGCCCAAGGCCTCTGGAAGCACCTCTGGTGCCCCTCCCTGCCACCAGAACCTTCCGCCAGCACCATGGACAGGGCTGTGTTTGCTGAGGGGTGAGGTGAGGGGCACCTGGCTAACGTCAGGTTTGAGCGGGGCCACTACAGGGACACGTACGTGGATCGGTGTGGTTGTGGGTCAGTGGCACTTTTTTTGGGAGCACAGCAGCATGGGGATTTCATGGAATGTGCCACACAAAACAAATTCTTCCCACCGATGTTAAGAGGTGGTGAGCACTCGAGCTTCCAGCTACCCCAGTGAGGCCAGCTTTTCGGGGTGCGTGACTTGCACACGCAAGGCCGCTCCCAACTCCTGCTCATGTAGAGACCCCACCAGTGCCTACAGCAGGGCTGCCATGAGGCTTCTCGCTACCTTCCGACAGATGTGTCTGTCATCTTTTTTTTTTTTAAAGATTTATTTATTTTTTATTACAAAGTTAGACATACAGAGAGGAGGAGAGACAGAGAAGATCTTCTGTCTGATGATTCACTCTCCAAGTGACTGCAATGGCCTGTTGAGCCAGGAGCCAGGAACTTCCTCTAGGTCTCCCACGTGGGTTCAGGAACCCAAGGCTTTGGGCCATCCTTGACTGCTTTCCCAGGCCACAAGCAGGGAGCTGGATGGGAAATGGAGCTGCCGAGATTAGAACTGGTGCCCATATGGGATCGCGGCGTGTTCAAGGCGAGGACTTTAGCCCAGACCGTGCCGGGCCTGTGTCTGTCATTTAGCCTCTGTGCTTCCCAGAGAACCACCTCTCCCACCTGGCTGCCTGGCCCTGGGGAGCCCGGCAGGACTCAGAGCAGCCCTGTGGCTCTGAGGAAGCTGGGGGCAGGGGACAGTGACAGAGCAGCCCCGAGTGCCAAGGGAGCAGGGACTTGGATTGAGTTTGGGAGTGGCGGCCCTGTAACCACTCTTGAGGCCAGAGGCCCCGTCACCCTCAACCCCCAGGCATTTCCATCTCCCCTGCCCCATGCCTCCAGAGCCCTTCTCAGACTAGTGCCCAATGTCTTGGCTTGAAGCTGGTCCAGCCGCCTGCACACGGGGTGAGGAGGTGAAGCAGGAAACGGGGCGGACGGTCGCCCAGCAGACTCCATAGACCAGTGCCTGGAGAGGCGCCTTGTTGCTGCCTGCCTCCAGGGACTCAGGCCAGCTCCTACGGCTCTGCTGCTGCTGTGGGGCCCTTTCCATCCACAGCCTGGAAGCTCCTTAGCACCGCTCCTAGAGCCAGCACATGGGGTCAGGCTTGAGCCGGGATACCCAGTCTGAGGGCCACAGCCCGGGTTTCTGCAGCCTCTCCTCTGTCACACACTCTGACAGGCATGGGGGCAGGCAAAGGACTATGTACCTGCTCTCTGGGCTGGGACCGGCAAGGCCTGGTTCTGGACAGCCCGCAGGCAGCGCCACAGGCAAGCGTGGTCCTGGGGCCAGCTCTGCCAGGGTGAGCGGGCCCCCACGGAGCTTCTGCGGGCTCTGGGCCATTCTGTGGGGCTCAGGAAGGCCTCTGGAGTTAAGGTCAGCCCAGGTGCTGACGAGACGGCCCAGAGGTGACAGTGTCGTGCCTGTCACCAGCCCTGTGTGGTCCCGTAGGTAGCACGGCCAAGATAGCAAACATGGTGTGTCCGGGAGCCTCCTTCAGGATGGCTCGGGGACTCCCCCAGGAAGCACCCCCAGCTCCTTCCTGGTGCCTTAGTGGCCCTTGTTCCTTCTGGATGAGGGCCAGAAGCCTGAGCAGGTATAAAGGGGCAGACGGAGGCTGTCCCAGCATGACTCCTCAGGACAGACTGTTAGCCAGGTACGGCCCGGCACAGGGCTGAGCCGGGATGGCCAGCTGCGTGCTGGGTCACCCACCTGTCTGCTTCTCCCCAGAGCCTCGGGCTAGGCCCCGGACACCATGCTGCTGTACCTGCTGCTGGCCCTCGCACTCCTGGGGAGCCCTGTCTCTCGGGCCAAGGGTGAGTGGGTCCATCCCTCTGGTGGGCACTCTCCCCACACAGTTGCCAACAATGCCTGCCCCATGTGACTGGCAGGCCCCCCTTGGTTCTCACCCTTGTAGTCCTATACGGACACGAAGCAGGCGAGTTTTTCAGTACCTTCGATGACTATGAAAATGAGGTCAGGGCGATTCGAATCACGACAAATCTTCTGGGCCAAATTCAGAGGTGAGTGGCCCTGGGGTCACTACCCCCACGACCCCCAACTCCCATTCACCCAGCCTACAGCCTGCCTCTCCTGCTAACACCCCTTGAAGCCCCACTGTGCCTTCTGGGACGCTCGAGGGTCGGGGAGCTTCCCACTGCCTTCCAACACCAACTTAGCTCCTTCCCCAAAAGTGCCCAATGCCTTTTGGGATATTCAAGGGGCTGTGGGGAGCACCCCCATACACCCCGCCAACTCCACATCCAGTCAGAGACAAAAAGGAAAGGGGCTGAGGAGCAGAGTGGACTGCTGACTGAACAGGGGTCACCAGGAACAGAAACCCGGGGCGTGGCCCTCAGATGGGGGTGTCCCAGCTCAGGGCTCCTGCCGGGGACAGCTGCAAAGGGGGCAGAGCAGAGTGCCGGGGCAAGCTGTGGAGGGGGGGAGGGGAGGCTCTGGACGGCCCCAGGTGAGGAGGTGCGGAGTAAGGCCCAGCCGGGCGGGTTGGGAGGGCACTGGGAGCTGGTGCCGGGCCAACCCCCATCTCTCAGGCCTGTGACCTGCTCTGTTGCTAGTGATTTGATGCAGGAAGTTGAACTTGGCTAGGGACGGTGGGCTCTGGAACATAGCAACACGCTGGCACCTGCGGAAGGTCCGGGCAACCTGGCACTGCCCCTCCCCACCACCCCAGTAGCCCCACCCACGTCCCAGAAGAAGAAACAGTCCGGAGAGGCTAAGTGTCCAGAGGGCAAAACCATCTCGCGACTGGGTCACAGGGCACAGACAAGGGGCTTCCCCACCCCAGCCCAAGGGACTTGTGCCTGTCCCCCAGCATCCAGGTGAAGATTGGGTGTGTCTGGGATGCCACATATGGGTCGCTGGGGCGGAACATGCAGGAGTTCCACCTGAGTTCTGGAGAACACATCACGGCCGTCCACGGCAAGCACCTGCTCAAGCTCTGGATGCTGAATGTGTGCACCAACCACAACCACTGTGTGCAGTTCGGCAAGTCGGTGGGCAAGCCCTTCTCCGCCTTTCCCAGTGAGGATGGGGAGGTGCTCCAGGGCTTCTTTGGGTTTTTGGCTCTCAATGGCTTCAAGAATATCGGCTTTAAGTGGGGCATACTGCCCCCAGAGTCGCTCCCTGCCCCAACTTGTAACAACACCCTTCAATGAATGCAGCTGCCCAGTTGCCAGGGGCAAGCTTGGGGGAAACTGGGTCGAGTGCTGACTCCATTCCCACCGGGCAATAAAACTTCTGTGGGACCAGCAAGTGCAGGCGTAGTCCTTGGGCATGGATGGGGTGTACTCCCAGGCTGGGATTCGGGGGACAGAGCTGAGACAGGGCGGGGTGAATGATGACACAGGGCTGGGCACCCCAGGGCTGGCTGCCGTGTGGGGACAGATGAGGATGCTAGCAGTCCAACACGGACACTCAGTTCGGAAGTGAGACCTAGGGGAGGGGTGTGCTTCAGGGAAGCCTTTCTGGAGGAAGTGGTGGCCAAGGGGTCAACTAGGGCTAGGGTGAGAGCCAGAGGCGACTCAGAACAGCTCTTGCAAGTCCAAGAATGGAACAAAGGGAGGAGACTCAGTGCCAGGGGGCTCAGCCCAGGTCATGCAGGTAGTGAGTGGCAGCACTGGGTTCACACTGAAGTGGCCCTGAGCCCCAGGGGAGGTGGTGACTACACAGCCACCCCTCTTCCTTCTGCCTGGGGTGCACTCTGCACCTCTCTCCTCTCTGGTTTTAGTTCAGCCTAGATTATTTTTCAGATGTATTTATTTATATAAAAGGCAGAATTGGAGAGGCAGAGGTTTTCTATCCACTGGTTAACTCCCCAAATGGTCACAATGTCCAGGCCTGAACCAGGCTTAAGTCAGACACTTCATCTGCGTTTCCCACGTTGAGTACAGAGGCCCAAGCGCGTGGCCAACCTCTGTGGCTTTCCCAGGCAATTTAAGGAGGAGCTAGATTGGAAATGGAGCATCCGGGACTTGAACAGGTGTCCTCTCAGGAGGACAGCATCACAGGCTGCAGCTTTACCTACTCTGCTACAACACCAGCCCCTTAGCTTATTTTTCAAAACTGATTGACAGCCCCTTCAACTAAGGTCTGCAGACAAATCCCAACAATGCCATGAGTGGGGTTGGGGGAAGCCATCTGTTTTTGTTATTCTGTACTGGAAATCCCTAGCTCGCTACCACTGTGACCTCACACACCTGCAGCACCTGTGACCTCGTGGCAGACAGCCTGAGGCTCATCACTTCAGAGTTGGGCTTGTCCTCACACTTGCCATGGGATGCGTTAGCGTTTAACACAGGTGTTCATGAAGAAGTTTTGAAAAGTCCGGAAAAAAACCCTGCTGGCTGTGTGGTCTGATCCTCCCCTTGATGAACCCCTGTGCCTGGCACAGTCGGGCTGGCACTTGGGGGTGCAGACTGGCAGCATCAGGGACCATCAAGGATCCCCAGGCAGCCTGGACAAGTGACAGTGTCCCGAGTGTCCATGCTATGCAAGGCAGGCAGGATGGAGGAGAGGCAGGTTAGATGCCAGATAGGGGATGAGAGGTCCCAGGGCTCAAGGCCAGCACAGGAGTTCCCAGAATCCTAGCAGAGTACCCTGGTGGGTGCTCAGTGGGAGGGGGCAGACCACACAGCCCAACTCCTTCTAGGGGTGGGGCAGCTCCACCTCACCCCAGGACTGACAAGGACCAGGCTCACTCTGGGGCAAATGCTTTATTCAGCGTGGGGATCAGAGCCTCTTGCCCAGGACATCTGCTTGTCCAGGTCCAAGGGGCAGAGGGCAGGGCTCCAGCAGCAGAGACTCAGGGCACACCCTGGGCCTGGGCTGCATGTCCTCTGAGTAAACAGAGGGGTGGGCACAAAGCTGGAAGATGGGGTGCCACAGGAAACACTGGGTTGGGAGCTACAGCGGATGGCAGGGTGGGTGCAGCAATGAGCGCTGGGCCGGGGTCCACCATGGATGTCAGAGTTGGCGCAGGGATGGGCGCTGGGCCGGGGTCCACCATGGATGGCAGGGTGGATGCAGGAATGGGCGCTGGGCCGGGGTCCACCATGGATGGCAGAGTTGGCGCAGGGATGGGCGCTGGGCTGAGGGCCACCATAGATGGCAGGGTAGATGCAGGGGTGGGGGACACAGTGGGTGGCAGGGTGGACGTAAGGGTGGGCGCTGAGCTTGGGGCTGTGGTGGACAGCAGGGTGGACACTGGGGAGATCTCTGGCCTAGGAGCAGTGGTGGGTGACAGAGTGGATGCTACGGTGGACGCCGGGGTGGGAGCCTCCTGGACGAATCCCCACTTAAAGCCGATTCCCGAAAGACATAAGAACCGGTGCTGGCCGTTGGCAGTCAGCAGTTGCTGCCCTGGGACTGGAGCCCGGGAGCTGAAGAGCCGGCCGCCCGGGCTCCCAAAGGCAGCCTGGCGCCCCCTGCTGGTTGTCCATCGCAGGTAGCGGATGCAGGCGCGCGCGCTGCCCTCCACCGCGGTCACTCGCTCGCCCGCCTGCAGCAGGAATTCGTGCGCGTGGCCGCCAGGCGCTCCATAGCGCGCGCTCCAGTGGCGTCCGAATTGCAGCTGCACGCTGGGAAAGGAGCGGGGTCAGCGGCAGCCTGCCCGGCCCCGCGGAGTACTCGGAGCCCTGCCTCTGCCGGGCTCAGCCTCCTCGTCCCCCAGAACACCGGCGGGCCCGGGGTGGCTGCAGAGCGGCAATGCCTGGTTCGCCCAGCTGTTCCCCACTCTGGATCCCCCTCCCCTGTGCACCCAGAGGGAAGCCACAGCAGCTGCACTGAGTTCTGAGAGCTGAGTGAACCAGAGACGGACCCTGACCGGAGCTGACCAGCAAGTCAGATTGCGCTGTGCTGGTGTGGCCCCGGGAGGCCCTCTGGGGGCCGAGGTCCTAGCTAGTCCTAATCAGTGTCCTGGTCCTGCTCTGGCCTTCTCAGAAGCCTTACAAGTACAGTCAGCAGAAAAGACCCGGGTTCAGTTTAATTTGAATTTCAGATAAATGACGATCTTGTTGCAGGGCCTCTGCCCGGTACTGCTGAGCTGCAAATGAACATTTAGGGCAAAAGTGCAGCCACATGCCACTGTCACACTAACCAGTGATCCTGGGTCAGCGCTGCGGCACAGTGGCACTAGCTCGCCCTGGCCGCCCCATACTCAGGCTCCTGGGAGAGCAGTGGAAGATGACTCAAGTACCTGGTCCTGCCACTACATGGGAGACCCAGAGGGAGTTCCAGTCTCCTGGCTTCAACCTGGCCCAGCCACTGCAGCCGTGTGGGGAATGAGCGAGCGGGAAAACGTCTTCTCTGTCTCTCCTCTTTCTTTGCCATTCGGCCTTTTTAAATAAATAAATTTTTGCTTAGAAAGGATTCCTTGTTTCTCTGAAATCAGCCGGGTGCACTAGTCTTGATTTGCTGGGTGAGGCAACACTGAGCACAGATGGCCTGCTGGTGGGGCAGAGCTGCCACCCAGGAAGACAGCAGGTGGCAGCCCTCACAGCCTGGCTCACCTGAGCAGGTGTCTGCCCACTGAGCACCACCTCCCCAGGGCCTGCACTCCCAGCACTCTCAGACCTTGGTGGCCTGGCCAGGGCTGGCCAGGGAGCTGGGGAAGACAGGGATGTGAGGCCAGCCTGCCCTCTGGGCCCCAGGGAAGCTAGAGTGCAGGCCAGTGTGCCACTCACCCCTTGATGAGGCCCAGCAGCCCCACGAAGACCCGGATGCCCCGAAGCTCCCCCTGCTCTTCTCCCCGAACGTAGAAGTAGGAGCCGCCGCCAGGGCCCTGCATCTCTGGGGGCAGCAGAGCAGGACACAGGGAGCTGGGGTGAGCTCTCACCTCTAGCCCCTCTGGGGGAAGCCCCTGGAGCCTGGGAACCTACCCTGGGCACAGCACGCAGAACCAGTGAGGAGAAGCAGGGTCAGGAGTCGCTGCATGGCTCGAGGGGCTCGGGCCAGGCCTCAGGCAGTGGGCACACAAGGTGGAGGTGGGCAGGAGTCTGGCAGGGGAAGAGACAGTGAGGCTGGGGGAGGGACACTTTCTTTCCCACAGGTCTCAAGGGCATCGGAAGAAGGGGCCAGTCTCACATGTGGGCAGCTTGGACCACTGCCCTGGAGGGACGAGAGCTCAGGGCCACCTCTGATGTCACTCTTAGGAAATTCTCTGCCAATCTTAATCAAGGGACCCTGCACTCACTTGACGCCGACACTTCCCAAAGTCTGAGGTAGCCCTGGAACACACCCTGCTCAATGAGGGGCCCTCTCTACCCTGCTCCGATTCAGGCTGCAGATGGATCAGCAGGCACTCCCCCAGCCCCATCCCAGCCCCGTCCCACAGACAAGCACGCGCCCCCCCAGCCCCGTCCCAGCCCCGTCCCACAGACCAGCACGCATTCTCCCAGCCCCGTCCCACGGACCAGCACGCGCCCCCCCCAGCCCTGTCCCACGGACCAGCACGCGCCCCCCCCAGCCCAGTCCCACGGACCAGCACGCGCCCCCCCAGCCCAGTCCCACAGAGCAGCACGTGCCCCCCACAGCCCTGTCCCATGGACCAGCACGCATTCTCCCAGCCCCGTCCCACGGATCAGCATGCGCCCCCCACAGCCCTGTCCCACGGACCAGCACGCACTCCCCATCTCCTGCTCACCTGTGCCAAGTGTCTGAGGCTCTCAGCCTGCCCACTTATACCTGGGCCTTGCCTGGCCACATCCACCTTGAGTGGGGCCTTGGCAGGAGCTCTGGCAGCACTCCGGAAGCCCTCCTGTCCAGAAACACTGTTTGTGTTCCTGTCCATAGACCCTGGACAAACGGGCCTCAGCATGCTGCCGTTCTCCGTGACCACCAGCATGGGCATCGAGCAAGCAGGCAGACGGTCACCCACAGGATGGCACCAGTCCAAAACTGAGGCACTGACATGGGCAGAGGCTGGACACAAGGGCCTTGCAAGGGAGAGGCTGCGAACCCTTGGGGAATGCATCGCACGCCATGCCCCATGCCTCTTCCACGGGAGGGTGGACTCTGCCTGGAAGGTTCTCACCAGGACACCCACAGGCCATGCTGCCCAGCCCCAGACCTCACAACCCTGAGGCTGGCATGGCTCCTGGCCCGACTCTACCACCGTGGACATGGTCAGCTAGGGCGGGACTTTGCCTGAGTCCCGGAGCAGTGGGGATGAGGCCAGACCCCACCCCAGGCAGCCCAGTTCTGAGCCACGTACCACTCTGTACCATACTGAGGTTGGTTCAGGTGCCCACAGCCGACACCCCACTGCCTACTAACCCCCTTCCCCCAGTTCCTGCACAGCATAGTCCAGCCAAGGGCTGGCACTCCCAGGCCATGGGAGGAGGGTGGCCTGGGAGAATTTCCCTCCGAGCACAGGAAGGGGTAGCTGAGCCGGAACGGCCACCTAAGCCCTTGGCAAATAGCAGCTGGCCTGGGCAAGGGCAGCGGGAAGAGGCAGACAAAGGGCTTGTGGTTCCTGTTCAGCCGAGCTGGATGCCGGGAAGCTCACTGCGGCTTTCACGGCCATTTCAGCTCCTTCCTTCTAGCTGCCCGGACAGACGGACAAGGGAAAGGGGAGTGCTGGCTGGGGGCCCAGGGGTCTCACTGAGGCCAGCTGCTCCCTCAAGCAGTTCAACAGCTCCCAGCGAGGGGGCCTGTTCCCTGTGGGCTGGGGACGAGAGCAGCAGTCACCAAGGCCTCCTTGCCGGGGGACCAGGAGCCCGAAGCCTGCAGCTGCCTCTCCGGGCAGGGGGCTGTGTCTTTGGCCAGGGCCCTGCTCAGCATTCCTGGGGCCTGAGAAACCCACTGCGGAGTGCCTCAGGGTTACTCCCCATCCCACTGGCCCAGGGCAGGCTGGGACCCTGACCACCTGAGCTGCCCACGGGGAGCAAGGGGTCTGGTAACTCGGCTTGACTGAGGGGTGTCGGGCTCCTCCAAGGCTGGGCCAGGCCTCTCGGTGTAAGCAGCTGTGCCCCACCTCAGCCGGTGGGCCAGGGCCCTCCCCCAGTGTTGGCTAAGAAGCCAAGGCCGAGTTCATTCTATTGACACTTCGCTTTGCTTACTTGTTTGTTTGTACTTGAAAGGCAGAGTTACAGAGAACAGAGAGATCTTCTACCCACTGGCTCATTCTCCCAGTGATCACAACGGCCAGAGCTGAGCTGGCCTGGATCCAGGAGCCAGAACTTCTTCCAGGAATACCTCATGCGTGCAGGGTCCTGAGGATTGGGGCCATCCTCTGCTGCCCCACTTCTAGGGTATACACAAGGAGCTGGCTGGGGAGCAGCTGGGACATGAACTGGTGCCCACATGGGATGCCATGCTGCAGGGCAGAGGACTAGCTTGTTGAGGTACCACGCTGACTGCAGACACCTCACTGTGTAAGTGTCTTCCAGGACACGTGGGCAGTCTGTCTCAGGCTGCTCTGAATAAGGTGGCTGAGTCTGTGTGGACACAAGTCTTCATTCCCCTGGGACTGATGACTCTTATACAAACTGTATGAGGAACTGCTGCAGAGCTTCCCAACTCAGCAGAGAAAAGGTCTTTGGAAATGCAATTAAAAGATAAACTTTGATACAAGAAAATGAAATTCATACACACCTTTTTCATGATATGCACTTGTTCTAATTTTTGAGCCCCCTGATATGTGGTCCATCTGAGGTCCCCCTGCCCAGAGCACACCCTGCCAGGCTCTGACAGTCTACCTGCAGGATAGTAAGATGCATTTCAGAAACAAAGAATTCAGGGCCTGTGTGCAGCACAGCAGCGTTGCACATCAGCACTAGTTCAAGTCCCGAATGCTCCACTTGCGGTCTGCTCCCTGCTAATGCTCACGGGAAAGCAGCAGAAGACGGCCGAGCACCCGGGCCCTTGCACCCTGCGGGAGACCCAGAAGTTCCTGGCTCCAGCTTGGCCGGCTCTAGCCACCCAGGCCATCTGTGGAGTGAAGCAGTGGGAGGGAGATCTCTCTCGTGTCCCTGTCACTTGCCAACTCTATATATAACTGTCTTTACAACACAAAACAGAACTACAGAGTTTAAAGTTGATAAGTCAGGACATCCAGTCCTTGAAGTTGGCTTCATGAAGTAATCCTCTTGAGGACAAACAGAGGAGTCCAGAAAGAAAACCTCTCTGGGGGCTGGCATAGGAGGCTAATTAATCCTCAGCTTGCAGTGCTGGGATCGCATATGGGCACCAGTTTGTACCCCGGCTGTCCATCCAGCTCCCTGCCTGTGGCCTGGGAAAGCAGTGGAGGACAGCGCAAAGCCTTGGGACCCTGCACCTGCATGGGAGACCCAGAAGAGGGTCCTGGTTCTTGGCTTCAGATCGGTGCGGTTCTGGCCATTGTGGCTACTTGGGGAATGAATCATTGGAAGGAAGATCTTCCTCTCTGTCTCTCCTTTCTGTATATCTGACTTTCCAATAAATAAATAAATCTTAAAAAAAAAAAAAAAGAAAAAAGAAACCCTCACTGCTGCTGTGGGAACCCTGCCCAGACCTCTGCCAGCCCTGCAGAGGCCACACCACAGCGTTCACGGCTGCCAGGTGGAGACTAGCTGCACCTGAGCAATACTGCAAGTTGGGCACCCGGAGAAGACCCTGGGGGGGCTGGTAACCAAGCCCAACGGCTCCGTCTGGGCGGCAGGATGGGTCTCCCAAGCTGGGCAGCAGCAGAGTGCCCTCCCTGCTGTTCCAGACCCTCACCTGGCATCCTCATCCCTGTTGGCAAGCAGGTCAGCCGGGAAAGCGCTGGCCAGGCTGGCCACGCGAGGGCGCCCGCCGCCGGGGCCTGGAGGCCGGTGAGCCCAGCGCCCCAGCAGCAGGTGAGCCCAGCGCCCCAGCAGCAGGACCGGCAGCCGCAGGGCCGCGCGGCCAGGCGCTGGTTCCTGTCCCTGTGGCAGACCCGGGTGGTGGGAGCTGCAGGCTTCTGGCCTGGGTCTGGCCCAGCCCTGGCTGGCTCTGTCATGCTTTCAAACAAATACATAATCCTTTTTAAAATTGCAATTTCGAGGCCAACACTCCCCTCGTGACACACATCTTACACACCTCACATGGTGATATGTCTGAGACTTTCCAACAACGACGAGAAATGGGCAACATTTAGACCCTATGACCAAGGAGTCCCCAGCCCCGGGCACCCTGGCAGCACGCACAGGCTTACAAGGGGTCCTTTCGCCTGCCACACCGGCCGTGGCCTGCGCCCTGCACACCCCGTGGAGGGCCGTGCGCCCCACGTTCCTGTCCTCACACAGCCCCCGCTCCGGGCCGGATCCTCACCCAGCACCTCCTTACTCCATGCCAGGCTGTCCTTACCTCAGGGCAGCCGTGCTGTGGGCCCCCATGGACACTGCGGAGCCAGGCGGCCCTGGCACGGGGCGCTCCGGGGCTGTGGGGCGTCTGGGGGTCGCCAGAGGCAGACACTGAAATCCATGGACCCCAGAAAGCACGCGCAGGCGTCGGGCTGCTGCCCACTCACCCCTCACAGCTAAGGGGCACTGGGCCTGGCAGGCCGCGGAGCCCTCCTCAGGGCGCCGACCAGTCACGCCGCCCCGCCCTGTTTCCGGTGTTTCCCATGGAGCTCCGGGTGGTCTTCCGGCAGACCACGGGGGCGCGTCCAGTGGGTTCCGGCCTGCCGCTGTGCGGTTTTTCAGGGCGTCTCTGCCCTGCACGTTCTGCCCCCGGCACCCAAGCTGGGCAGCCCCTGAATCCAGGTTGAAGTTTGACTAGGACACTAATAGAACAAACTGGTCCTGTTCCAGCTCACGTGCCAAGTTAAGAAACCAGCTTCTGGTCAGTGCCGTGGCACAGCGAGTTGTACCAGCATCCCACATGGTTGCCAGTTCAAGTCTTGGCTGCTCTACTTCCCATCCAACTCCCTATTAGTGGCCTGCGAAAGCTTGTGCCCCTGCACTCACATGAGTGTCCTAGAAGAAGCTGCTAGTTTCAGGCTGACCCAGCTCCATCCTTGCAAAAATTTGGGGAGTGTCCTCCAAAATTCTGGGTCGTCCCCCCACACCTCCAGCACTGCCCAGTGCTATCTGGGCCAGTGTCATTGGGTACCTAGCTTCTACCCTACAGAGGGCTCATCCACCTGTGGCCTGGCCTAGGGTGGGTAGCTTCCTCCTGCAGGTGGTTAAAAACCCTCTTGAACCAGTTTTCAACCTCAGACCCAGTTAACAATTGTTTTTTATTAAAGATTTATTTTTATTATTTTTTCATTGGAAAGGCGGATATACAGAGAGGAGAGACAGAGAGGAAGATCTTCCGTCCGATGATTCACTCCCCAAGTGAGCGCAACGGGCCGATACTATGCCCATCCGAAGCCAGGAGCCTCTTCTGGGTCTCCCACACGGGTGCAGGTTCCCAAAGCTTTGGGCCGTCCTCGACTGCTTTCCCAGGCCACAAGCAGGGAGCTGGAAGGGAAGCGGGGCTGCCGGGATTAGAACCGGCGCCCATATGGGATCCCGGGGGTGCAAGGCGAGGACCTTTAACCACTTGCGCCACCGCGCCGGGCCCTAACAATTGTTTATGTAGAGTCCTCACAGGGCTGCCCATGGGATTCCTTTTGTCCCCTCTCGGGAGCCAGCTGGTGTCACGCTGGCCCGGAAGGGGACAGAGTGTTGGCAGGGGCGTTGCTGGTACAGTCACCTCCGTGTCACTTGCTCTCTTCCCACTCCAGGGTGACGATGGCTGACTGATCCTTTTATCAGAAGACACACACACAGAGCTTTCCCCGGAAACCACCTACCCTGTTGGCTAATTCCGCGGAAGCTGAGCAACAGGCATTTTGCTCTTCCAGAATGGGCCTTGCCTTGGCCAGCGAAGGGGCCGCCCCCCAGGGCAGTGCTGTGTGCACATGCGTGTTTTTCCGGAGTCCAGGTGCGCTCTGAGAGAGAAGCCTGGGAGGGAAAGTCCCCTGAAGGGTTGGTGATGTGGCAGAGCAGTGGGCTGGAGCCTGCAGCTGTCATCCAGGCTCCAGGTCCCCACCCTGCCCCCCAGGCCAGGAGAGCTGGCCAAGCGGGGGGAGCGGTAGCTGAGTCAAGTTTGCTCCAAGGGTAGGCTGGGCTGGAGATGCTGCCGGACAGGCCCACATGTGGGAGCTCTCCATCTGCAGCCCAGGAGACATGTGGTCCAGGGGACTAAAAAGGGTGTTGTCCTTCCCAGCCTGGGCCAGGCTGCTAGCAGGGAGCACGGCCACTAACCTGTGACAGCCTGGGGATGGGGGAACCCACAAGGCTGTGTGGGGGACAGCTCCCAAGGAAGGCAACTGCAGCTGTTTGCGACGTGCCCCCCACCCCAGTGTAGGCCAGGGAGGTGGGGACCACCGCTGCGCTTGCCACCGCCCAGTCTGTCTCTTGGTCGCACGGAGGGCACAAGAGCCCTTTGCACTCCGCCACCAGCTCAGGGCCACCCAAGACCATCCCCACTGTGCATCTGGCCTCTTGTGGGTGGTTCCTGGGTGTTGCTGATGTATAGGCTCCTAGAGGGAGCAGGAGTGAGTGGGGAAGAGAAGGGCAAAGAGCGAAAGGTGGGAGAAAAGGAGGATGGGGGGCCCTGGGGGTGCCCCCAGGATGGAGGAGGAGAGCCCAGTGGGAAGAAGGGGTGCTCATGGGTAGGGAGTGGCAAAGCAGAGTTGGAGGGACAGGCGGTGGGGTGCTGAGGCAAGAGTGGGGAGCAGGCCACAGGTCGGGCGGGGTGGGGAGGACAGGGAATGGGGCGGTGGGGCACACAGGGAGGCTCCCCACAGGGACTGGGCCAGGCCAAGCGGCGCAGCTGCAGCAGACAACTGAGTCATCGGTCACTCCCAGGCCGCTTCCCGGATGAGCAGGCCCGCGAGGGTTGTTTGTTTATTTTTCATGAAAGCAACCCACCATGTTGACTGTGATCTGATAGCTACCTGGTGACGAAAACAATACAAACGAGTATTTCAGAGCTGTGTCCCAATACCGAGCACGCACACACTCAGTCTGCCCTGACAGCCTGGCTGAAGCTTGTCACGCCCTCGGTGGCGGCGGGGTGGACATGCTGTACTGGCCAGGCCAACCACAGGGACCCCGATTTGATCCCTAACTGGACCCAAAAGGCATAAAGATGAAAAAAAAAATTTATTGCGATTGGAGGAAATAAATAATTTATTGCAATCGGAGGAATAAATAAGCCACGTGGACAGGGTTACAAATAAGTGTAAAAATCATCAGCATTATGTGCACAAAGGCCTGCCGGGCCGGGGCGGGGTCTGGCGCGGGGCGGGGCCGGCGAGGCTCCTCCCCCACGCCGTGGCCAAAGGCTCATGGGCGCCCCCAGAGGTAGACGGAGTGTTTCCAGCAGGGCTCCGCTCAGTGGCCCACGGAGCCCGGGCCTGGCGCTCCACGCAGCCCGGACGAGCGCCCGCGGAGCTGCACGCCCGGCACAATCCTCTCCACCCAGGAGCGGTGTGCAAGGAGGCTGGTGTAGACGCCCGGGCGGTCGCGCTCCGCACAGCCCTCTCCCCAGCTGATGATGCCGGCCAGCACCCAGGCATTCTCCACCTGGCACATGAGAGGGCCCCCGGAGTCACCCTGTGGGAGAGGAGGGGTTAGGGAGCCACGTGAGGCAGTGGACACACTTTGTCACCAGCAGGAGGCTGGAGTAGGCCCTGGGTACGTCGGCAGTGGGGACCCCTCCCAAGGAAATGAATGCCCCCACAGGGGTGCACAGCTCAGCCGCTTGTGCCCTTCAGGCTTACACCTTACGCCCAGCTGGGCGAGGGAGGCTCCTCGCCCGAGGGAGATGTCGGGGACCAGGCTGCTCACCAGACATGCATCCCGCTCCCCCTCCAGGTAGCCTGCGCACAGCATGTCCTCAGTGATGGTGCCCTGCCCAGCACCCCGCCAGTACAGGCGGCTGCAGACTTCCGAGTCGATGATGGGCACCCTGAGCTTCTGCAGGATCTGCGGGTGGGGCAGGGGCACTGGGAACAAGCAGCGGGGTCAGGCAGAGGCCCAAGCACTTGGGCCATCCTCTGCTGCTTTCCCAACATATAGGCAGGGAGTTGGATGGGCCAGGAGCAGGCCGCATGTGAGATGCTGGCACTCCAGCACACGGCGCGCCTGGCCCGTGTGCCGGTGTATTCCAAGCCTCCATCCTGAAGACCACGGGACGTCAGCATTGCCTCCTGGCGACGCTGCCTGCAACTACAGCCTTTCCCCCCGGGGGTCTGTTCCCACTTGCCATCTAGGGGCTGTTTCTCCATCACCTCTACCCACAGTGGCCTACAGGAGCCCCCAGACAGTGAGGTTTCACTTCCAGCTTGTCACCTTAAAATGACCCCATATCGGTTCCCTAGGCTCCCGTGACTTCCCACCTGCCACAGTGGACCGGCCTAGAGCCTGTGCCCATCCCCCAGCCACTGGTGAGCCCCACCTCCTTCCCGGATGCTCCCCCAGCCTGCAATCCAGCAGTCTGTGTCTGCGGGGAGGCGGACGGAGGTGTCTGGCAAGCAGATGGGCAGGACTCGTTCGGAGAACAGCACAGGCCGCTCAAGGCGTGCCAGTGCGATGTCAGCACGGGCACCCTCCTTCCAGGAGTACACGGGGTGGGGCAGCACCCGGGCCACCCCCACCTGCTGGGACCGAGGGCCTGGCCTGCCCAACTGCCAGGCCCCCAGCAGCACGGAGAACAGGAACGGCTTGCTCAGGTGGCTGGAAGGAAAGGGGTCTCTCAGTGCCTCCATGGGGGCCATGAGCCTGGCAGGGCCCGGGCTCCCCACATACCCCTTGAAGCAGTGGGCGGCGGTGACCACCCAGCGGCTGGTGAGCAAGGAGCCGGCGCAGTGGTGGGTGCCATTCTTCTGGATGCTCACGATCCACGGCCACTCGGCGTCCACACTGTCCTGGCCGCCCACGATCCGGCTCAGCTGCTGGGGCTGCCCACAGGCGGGGGGCTCTGGCGGGGCAGTGGCATGCTGTCCCCCTGCAGACTGAGCCCCTGCCCACCCACCTCACCCCCATGGCTCTTGACCCATCTCTCCTGCCTTCCTCCCTCTGATCTGCATCCAGGTGGCCCGACCCGTGGCCCCCCACCAGGCAGCTGGGCCAGTGCCCACTCACCAAAGATGCTGGCCGCAGGGAGGGTAGCTGGGGCAGACAGGGAGGGGAGAGAGTCAGGCCAGCGGCCAGGAGGGTGCCCTCAACAGCGCTGCAGCTCCCACCCCCGCTCCTGGAGCCAGGGTCACTGGGGCCTCATGTCCCCTTGCCTCCCAACCAGGCCCAGCAGTCCCTCATTGTGCTCCTCCTGGGGGGTAAGGGTGGCAGTGGAGGCTCCCTGCCCCCAGGGCTGGGCAGCACCCTCCTCTGTGACCTGTGGCCCCAGAGCAGGCGTGTGACCCAAGCTGCCCTTGCTGGAGCAAGGGTGAGGGGAGACAGAGGGAGGGGAGGAGCCGTGCGGTGACAGTCACGAGGCCCGAGGACGGCTGGGCGCTGGCACCCAGTGGGCACTGAGCGCTCCCCTGCCTGCGGAGAGGGGCTGACTCCAGGTCCCCCTCCTCTGGCTGAGGTGGGGGAGGGGGTAGAGGTTGCCCAGACTCACCCCGAGACGCCAGGAGAAGGAGGGAGGCTAAGATCCTGAGACAGCCCCCATCTAGGGCTCTGAAAGTTCTAGAAACCACCATGGCTGGAAGGGACCGCAGACCCACCAGGCGGCAATGTCCAGGGCCCGGACCTGAGGGCTGTGCCGGCTGTGCCAGCTGTGATGGGTGGGGCAGTGGCAGGGTGGCAGGGTTCCCGCAGGGGCCTCAGGTTTTATCCCGGGAGGTGGAATGCTGTCAGACCAGTCTCCTGGGTGGCGCAGTCCAGGCCACCCAGGCTGTGGGTCATGGAGGGGGCGGAGCTGCTGGGAGGAAGCGGGCCGTTATGGGGGCTGAGTGTCTCTGGGCCCTGGTCTCTGCAGGCCAGGCAGTGGACATAGACTGTGACCTTGACACCATGCAGGCCAGAGGAAGCCCCCAGCGTTGAAAGGAAGGTTAGAAGTCCAGGGTTAGGAACGCCCTGAGTCTGGGGTGTAGGCTGTAGCACAGTGGGCTGGCAGGCCCCCAGGGATCTGTTGGCCTTCCTGCTGTCCCTGGGGGCTCAGCCCGACTCCACAGCACACCACCAGGATGCCTCATCTCACCTGGCCTCCAGAACCCGGGCACCTGGACCATCACCCGCTGTGAGCCAGCAGTAAGTACCCACCTGGGGCAGCTCACCAATAGCCACAGGTCCCTGTCCAACCAGCCCTTCCACCTGCAGTGCCTGCTGCGGCCGCAGAGGGCAGCGCCCGTGCCCCTCAGCACCCCGGAAGCAGCTGAACTGCCTCCCAGGGTGAATTGCTGCCCCGGGTCCCAGCTGCCAGGCTCATGCCTGGCTTATGCCGGGCCCGACTGTGGGTTTGGGCTGTTGGAGGACACATGGCAGCTCAGGTGGCACGGAAAGGGGGAGCCTGTCCACAGGGAGGATGGAGTCTTTGAGCCTCCCCACACCCGGCCGTCCGGGCCTGCCTGGGCCTGCCTCTCAGTCCGCAGGGGTCTGTAACAGACCCTTCCCCCCAGAGGCAGGAGATGTCCACGCAGGTGGCCCTGCTGAGGGGCCCTCGTGCTTCCTAGCCCCTTCTGCTGGACACTGACGCTGCTGGCAGCTTCTGCTCACTTGTTTAATGGGCACCTACTGTGCACCACGCTTTTGCTGAGGACTGATGACCCAGCTGCCCGAGGGAGGGCAGAGGAGGGTAGGAGTTCCCGGGTCAAGCCCGGTACAGCCCCCTCCATGTTCCTGAGCCCCACTTCCTGGGACCTGAGGGCCAGGCCTGCACACTGAGATGTTCCCTGCACAAGATGCAGAGGCCAGGAGGAGCCTGAGGAGCCCCAGGTTCCTGCCGAGCCCTGGTGAGGGGCCCCAGGCCTGGCTCCAGAGACTCCTGCCTGATTGAGCAGGTGCCCCACCATGTCTATGAGGGACCCCACACAGCAGGCTCGTGCAGCCTGCCAGGGCCTCCCTCCACCCCCACCCCATGTCCTGGGCCTGCCATCCCAGTCCTGGGCCCTGTCCACATGCACACAGGCAGGACCATGACGTGGCTCAGCCATGGGGCAGGCTGCTGGCACGCTTTTAGGGCCCATGAGGCCCCAGCCAGAGCTGAGCACCAGTCCAGGGCTGAGGTTCGGGGTGGAAACAGTACGTGCGTTTTCGGCCCCACTGCGCTGCCCACTGGCTAAGATCCTGCTGAAATCCAAGTGGCCTGCGGGATCCAGCAGGCCATGTGGTCCCAGCGAGAGCTACAGCTGGAGGGAGGGGCTGAGACCCAAGCAAGACCTGGACGTCGGCAGGGACTGAGCACAAGTCGGTGAATGGCAGGTCCCTGGCTACAAGCCAGACACGTGAGAGTGACCAGGCTTAGGCGCTGGGGAGGTGGGGGAGGGCCAAGGCCTCTGCTGAGTTCCTGGATCGGGAGGGGGTGCAGTGGGGTCCCCGAGGCTTCCAGCCCCTCTTGCTGTGAACATGTTTATATCTAACATGCAGACTTGTCAAAACAGACACACTCACAGCAGGGGAGACCCAGGGTCGGACAGCACCGGGGCAGTCTCCCACACGAGGTTCCCAGTGGAGACCAAGGCAGGTGGTGAGGCTGAGGCCGCGGGTCAGAGGGCACAGAGCTGGGCGTGGCAGCCGGCAGGGCAAACAACCCACGTGAGGCATGGCCTGGCAGTCACATGCCTGCTTCCTGTCTCGGTGCCCATGCGTACCTGGCCCCGGGAGGCGGTGGCCATGACCCACGTGCTTAGGCCGCAGCCACCCCCATGGGAGGTCTGAGTCCTGTTCTGGGCTCCCGGTGCTGGCTGTCCTGCTCAGTGACCGGTGGATGGAGGCTCTCCGTCTGTCAGAGACAGAGCGGCGGAGGAAATGGCTAGAAAGGTATTTGTGGCATCCTCTTTCGCCACAACCTGGGGGAAAGGGAAAAGCCTCTTGCAGGCTCCGGGTGATGGGGGGACTTGAAGTGGGGCTGCCCCAGGTCCCTCCCAGGCTCAGTTCTTGTCATCCTGGGGAGTCAATCTTTGTGTCATCTTTATGAAAACACAATTTATCTTTATTTCTTTGAAGGGCACAGAAATAGAGAGTTCTTCCATCTATTGGTTCACTCCCTTAAGAGCCACAGCAGCTAGGACCAGGCCAGACCAAAACCAGGAGCCTGGGGCTCCAGGCAGGTTGCTGGCTGGCCAGCCAAGCACTTGGTACTTCCACTGCCTCCCAATAGTGAAAAGCTGCAGGCTAGGACACAGACCCAAGCACGCTTCCTGGGGGGCTCCACTGCAGCCAACAACCTGCCCGCCAAGAAAGATTGGGTGCCCCCTCCTCTGAGGGACCCCTTCCCACCCCCTCCCCTGGCCCAGCTGGCCAGATGCAAAGGGCCTGCCTCGTCTTCCCACCTGCAACTGCCTGGCCCCTCCTGGTCGCCCAGAATGTCCCGTCCTCCGTGACCATGCTCGGGGCTTCCCCTCGGAGGAACAGGCTGGACACTGGCCCACTGACCCCTGTGGCTCTTCTGGAAAACCATCATGTAGTGCAGGTGGGTGGGCGAGTGAGTGGGCAGCCCCACAGCAGCAGCCCTGGGCTGCCCAGGCCTTGGCCTGCCTGCTGGGGTCTGGCCTCCTCTCTGGGGCAGGGAACTGTCACCCCCTTGGCGTGGTCTGCACAATGACCTGCCCTGTGGCATGGGGTGGTAATGGCACGCGTTGGTGCTGGCCTGGGGCTGGCCTGCAGAACTAGGGCAGCTGTGGGTGACTGACACCCACCGACGCTCTTGCACGGTCAAGCCGTTTCGACCACGGAGGAGCCTGGCAGATACCACAGCCCACAGCCATATGCCCACATGGCCAGCGGGCATCCTCTGCTGCCCAAGGTTTCCTGGGTGACCGCTCAATGCCTCACAGAGTCTGCAGTTGAGTGCTGCTCTGCCACCCGGAAGCAGGGAGAGGCCTTTGGAGGGAAGCGCAGCCGCAGGGCCGGGGCTGCTTGCTGGGAAGAGCGGCTAGGGAGGCGGCAGGCGGAAGGCAGCCCAGCTTGCTCCCTGGATGCCGCGCTGGCCCGGGCAGCTCTTGCTCTCTGTGACTCAACAGTGACTCATCAAGGGGACAGGACCAGAAGCGCTGGAGCAGAGGTCACGGCCCGGCTGCCCCCTGCCCTAGGTGTCTGAGGGTCATGAGGCGGCGGTGGGGGGGTGGGGAGTGGCTGACACACACAGTGGCCACATCTAGGGGGCCACAAGTGGGGTCCAGGGGTGCGCGCAGCTGGAGCTGGCTCTGGCCACCTGGGGGGCTTGGCTCTGTGGCCCAGCCTGAGGCACATCAGGCAGCCAAGTCAAGCCTTGTGGGAGAGGCAGCCCAGGGACCGTCCCAAGCCTCTTGTGCAGGCTGGCCACGTCCTCCACGTCCCTCCAGGGCAATGAGCAACTGCTCATGCCGGCAGAGGGCTTTAGGGCAGCCGAGCCCTGGGCTCCCCAAGTTTGGGCTGCAGGCTCAGGCACGTGGAGCTGGCAGGTGGGGCGAGCTGAAAACAGGGACACAGCCATCTGGGAGCCGGCTGGGACTTGCTTTTGGGGATCCAGGGTTTTCTAACTCAGAAGCAGCACTACCTGCTGATGCCCCAGTGACTGCAGCCACAAGTGCAAGCAGCCCTGGGGTATCAGCACCCACCTCCCCTCCCCAGAGTGCTGTCCAGGAACCAGACACCAAACCCTCTCAAAGTCAGAGGGAGAGAAAGCGTGGGCCACAACTCCATTCAAGTCTCTCACGGGGTGCATGGAGCCAGAAGCTGGCCACCCTGCCCAGCTTCCCCAGTCACATTGGCGGGGAGCTGGACCAGAAGTGGGACAGCTGGGACTCAAATTGGTGCCCCTGTGGGATGATAGCAGGTGGCCATTTGAGACATCTCCAGCTGTCATGTGCCCAAGTGGGTGTCCCTACCACTGCACCAAGGCA